TTTTTTTTTAATTAATAAACGTAAATAAAGTAACAAAAAAATATATCAACAATCAAGATTATTCTCATTATCTTATCTCGCTTGTTAATGTAAAATCTTTGTCGAAGGTCGACTTGTCGTTACCAAAGTGTAAGAAGCGAAATGGATTAACGTACGATTTTTTCTCACGAGGTACTTTTCGAATCTTCTTCTTTCGAGTCTTCTTCGTAAATTATATTTTCGTGAAACATTGTATTTTCAATTATCATTGAGGACCAATACTTATCGAATATTTTATTTATACTTATCGAATTATCCAAGATTAAGTTAGGTCCAAGACATTTTACCAGTATATAAGAATTTCAAATAATTTCAATTAATTACAAATAAATATCTAATTTCACGTATAATATATAATATATAATATATAATATATAATATATTATAATTTTCATTTGGCTTCATAAAATTTTTTAAAGATGTTACCGTCTCAAATTAAAAAAAGTCATACGTGACGTTGTCCAACTATGAAAAATAGAAATACCATATATGTTGTAGTATCTTTAACAATGGTCAAATGTGGAAAGGTGTTATTCAACAGCATAGGTATGTTATTATCTAATTGTGAGATACATGCGTGTGATCCGTTTGCAGATGTTGTATTTACCACTTGCACTATTTATACCGCCATCGCATTTCATCGCGCACAATCAGTTCAATTTAATTTATCAACTATGGATTCATACAACTGTCATTGACGATCTTGGACCGTTAGAATTAATATTCAATACGCCAAAACATCATCGTGTACATCATGGTGTGTACATCGTACTTTATACTATAATATAATATTGCAATGATATTGTTATTCGATATTACAGATATATATATATATATATATATACACATGCATACGCAAGGCAGATTATCGCTAATTACAACTATTGTATGTTTCGGATAGGTTGCAATTTATATTGCCTGGACAAAAACTACGGTGGTGTGCTGATTATATGGGACAAGTTGTTTGGGACATTTATGAACGAAAAAGAGAAGGAAAAGATCATTTATGGCTTAGTCGTTAGTCCTCAATCTTTTAATCCCTTATATTTACAGGTAAGAAACTGTGTATATACGTACATGCACGTAACTGTTCTTCATAATTAAATCATATCCAAGACTTAATAAAATGCATAATCACTCTGTTACGTAAATTGACAATTAGTTATGCAAATATATATTCGATTGACATGATTTCAAAGCTATACTTTAGTATGTTAAATCTGTGCATTAACGAGCGTTTGCTCCTCTATTATAAACAAGTACAGAGACTAATTATTTCGTACATCAAATATGTATTTTCAATTGGATATAAAAGTTAGAGACCAAGACATAGTTGTATCTACGCCTGCAGTAGTTACTTATATACGTTACAATTTTATATAGTAAAGTAAGTATATAATACTTACTGCTAGTACTTAAGTATATGTAGTTACGTATAAATAATAAAGTATTTTAACAATTGTTGTAGATATTTTACACTATACAATTAATTCGAAAAAGTATACAAATGCCAACTTTCACAAACAAGTTAGCTGTTTTCTGGAAAGGTCCTAGCTGGTTTCCAGGTGGTCCCCGCTTAGGTCTAGATGAATATAAAATCAACGTAAGTTTTGTACTTTACGCGTTTACGTCGCGTCGTATCACGTCGCGTTATTGCTACTGTGCTATCATTATCAAACTTAACAACTTTATAATATTATCTATGTACGTACGTGTACCATAAAAAATTGATAACGATAGAAGAATTAAATTGCAGAAATGCAATAGCATTGTTACTTGTATGAAAATAGAACCGGCTCACAGCAAACATCTGACGTATCGTTAAATATTAATATTTGAGAATAAATGATTTGTTTTGAAGAATATTAATGAACTTATGTAATTGGTATACATGTAACTGACTGCTGACATGACACAAGTAGTACCTACTAGTTTGAATCACCATGACTACGTAAACCGGTTTGATTTTACTATGGGTCTTCCTTACCGCGTAAACACTGAATCGTAACTATAAAACAGGAGCGTACGATATTCATTTCAAACGTTTACACGTTTACAATGTTTAATAATAACATTGTCGTTATTTCCAATAGGTTACATCTAGGATTAAATATGACAATTACACGTCACTGTGGCAAAACCTTTACATAATTGTGCACTTTTGCCTAATCCTTTATCACCATCTTCAAATATATGACGAAACACAGGTGAGAATCTTTTATGAAAATACTTGTAAAAATACCTTGAAACTACTTTATATATCTTATTTCTCAGGTATTACTGTAGGTAATGTATATTTTTGAAATATTTGAAATAACGGATAAAAGATAATTACCAAACTTTTCCTTACAGGACTTGAGGACCTTATCATCAGGATTTATCCTTATTAATAATTTGCTTGCTCTCACCGTCTTTGGTTTATTATTCGACAAGTCGACACATGTTAGTATCGTAGAATTTGTTCGATGCGTCGTTTATTTAATTTTCTCGACAATATATAATTCGATAAATTTGTGCATGTATTATGGATATGTAATTTCGTGCTGCATTTGGATATTATATTTTCTTTTTACAATAAAATCAAATTTTACAAAGTAAAGCAAGAAAGTAGCAGAGAAACGAATGCAGTTTTATAAAATATGACGAAAATGTTTGTACTCGAGTACTTTGCCACATTCACGTTTGTGTAATAAATAATATTCAACGTCGTTACTATACAAACTTCATCGACAATAAACATCTTGAAATACAAAAATTAAATATTCATTAAGATATTCATTAAGACACATATACATATATAATTAATGTGACACAACAAGTTCTTCGATATTGACGCTTATGTAAATAAAAAGCTAAGTTACATTTGTTTTAATGCGTCTTCTACGTGATATTGATATTGATTAGGAGCATACGCAGATACGTATGTATGTATATGTGTATGTATGTATGACAAAACATCAAATAAAACATTTTCTATAAGCAACGAGAAAATGGAATAATATTTACTTTCTGACCACGATTACTAGTAAGTAATTAAGAAAGAAGATCATACGTGGAGATTATATGATAAACAAGATTTAGGAAAATTTAATTCTAAAATCTCAGATTTTTATCTGACAGACGATGAACTTGCGTCATCGGCTTTGTTCAGCCCTTCGATCGAATGGATCCAATTTCCTACAGGTTTCTTCGATTATTTCATTTCATTTCATCAATAGACAAAAAATAGACAGAAGAATTGGACGTTTTCTTACTATTTTTATTTATTTACAAAATAAAAATAAGTATTATGTTCCATAATAACGAGAATTAAACAATTTTATTGTTTGCGCGTATGATTCTGCTGTATTTTGTACGTAACTTGTTATATTTGAATTACGTACAAAATAGAGAAAGTTGTATAATTAAAGTCGCACGAAATAAATAAATAGATATGAAATCGCGTCGTATGACGTATATATACGCACCAAGTATCAAGTATATCAAAATCACGATACACATACATTGGGTTTTCAATAAAACGATATCATTTTGTTCGTATAGATTTATATTTTCATCGATAAAAGAAGAAGAAACAGATTACGAAGACAGAAACGAAAGGCGTCAAATTAAAATTTTGACGTAACATAAAGTTCGCACGATCGGTAAAATATTATTATCGTGATCGATAGAATCAAGTCAGCGTCATGAAACGTAGATGAAAGCAAAATTCCGTGATTGGTTGAAATTTTCACATAGAAAAAATGTCTACAACATTTGCACATACGCATCATATGTATGTATGTTAATAATTAGAGAAATGCACTCTCTCGATAGTTTCTTCCTAATATCTTAAACATTACGATTTGTATATAAAATTTTCTATTCAATTAATATATTTGTTCTGTCGTGAACACTTGCAATTAATTAACGAGCATCAGAGCTCGTAAACGTTTCTGAAAATCAGTATCGAATATAAAGTGTTCATAACTGTCAACACCTTAAGAAAGCGTAGTCACAAAGACACGTTATAATCGAGAATTTACAAAACATGACACTTTACATGTATACTTTACTTGCAGTATCATACAAGTATGGTATATGGTAGGACATACAAATAACATTTAAAAGTTATGCAACTTACGCGAACTTAATTACTGTGAAACAATCGTGAACAACGAAGCATGACATTGGCAATTATCTAAACAAGTAAATCGAAAGCAATTAGATTCTGGTATAGATTTTATACGAAATAAGTAAGCGTCATTCGTCCCTCTATCTCTCAATTTGATAACAATTCTAATCATTTCAATATTAGATAACTATTCGACTCAAGCATCGTAAAAACAAGTAGGGTCTTATAAAATATCGCACGAAACAAAGGTAAATGCGTGTAATATCTTGCATATGCACAACGCGCAAGTATCTCTTTAGTACGTCATTTTTCATATTATGCTGTGTAGGTGCAAGCATTTGAAGAACTGGCTCGATAACGCATCGTTGTAGCCTCGAGAACCGGCGACGTTGTAACAAATTCACTTTGATGGTCCACTATCTGTAACACGAGACAACGAGTTTAAAACAAAACAAACGTATGTACAAGCGTATGCAGCCAAAAAATGTTACGTATAATTAACAGGTGATAAATAACAGGTAATAATAATTTTGTTGATACTTTTGTTAGGTTTTTTTTTTTTTTTTTTTTTTTAGCTCAAACAAGACATCACGGCAAATAAGTGTGTAAGTACGCATTTAGATAGGCACGTAGGCACGCGTACATATACCTATCAGTATCAGTATCGAGACGTCTGGATCGGAATGATCACTACTGGATAACTACAATCTCTGAAATCTCTCTTAATCTTTTCGATTAAATCTTTCGATTATGTATGGTACGTACATTACACGTTTCGCGTATGCAAGTACAAGTAGCTAGAGTAGATGGAAAGCAAGTTGGTAGATAGCAAGTTGGTAAAATATTTACATACCTACGGAGATGTTCCTACGTGTTGGTGCTCGGTTTTGTCCTCATTTTACCATCGCTCGTCTCGGTTTCCGCCGTTTCCGATCTTCGCTCTAAAGAATTATCCGACGTGACGCCATCCGAACGATCATCTTCGTTGCTTCGCCTCTCACCACCTTCGGCATCTTGTTGCTCGAGCAGAGGCATATCCAGGGAATCGGAAGAGATACGCCTAACGCTGGCTGCGTGTTCGGCCACGTCCGACTGCATCTCTTTCGCATCTCGTACGTTGTTCAACGAGTCGGAACTCAAGGAAGGAAAGTCGAGCGTAGTTTTCATCTCCAACGAATCGGAACTTCGACACAACGGGTGATGCTTCTTGTCGATGTTATCTTCGAGCTCGAGAGAGTCCGTGCTGGTTTCCATGAGATTGCTCTCCCGGTTACTGCCCCCCGGAAGAGGCACGGTTTCCGATTCTTCTACCGGGGGTACAAGAATCGGTTGCGCATCGGCTTGAGTCGCGGCTCCTCCTCTCTCAACGTCCGTGATCTCGATCTGCGAAATGTCTTCGGTCGTGTCATCCTGCCGGTCAAATTTTTCCACGTTCGACTGAGCTATGCGTATGATCTCGTCGATCTCTTTGATCCGCTTCTCGTAATCGTCCGAGCCGGACGTGCTCGCGTTGAACGAGCCAGCCGTACTCGTGTCGACCCTCGTCCGCGGTAAACTCTCCAATTTGTACTTGTTCTCAGGGCTTTCGTGTTCCAGTAGGTCTTCCTCCTCTCTGGCGCGCAACTCGATCAAATGCGCCTCCCTGCAGGCTTTCTCCAGCCCTTCAAAGTCCTTTAACGAGGACAGCGAGATGTCGTCACCGTGGCCGGATCGGCTAGTCACGTACCTCCTCGGAAGGCTACCGTTATTGACGGAATCGTGCGAGCCGCACTGTAACTTTCGCGAATTCTCCGCGGCGACCACGCTCTCCAAACGTTCGAATTCCTGCAACGAGCTCAACGAGACGTTGTCGTGATCGGACGGCCTGGTGAAGTACTTTTTACCGGCCAACACGTCGTAGTCGGGGGTACTGCCAAAGCTACCGCGCATACTGCCCACGCTCCCTATCGATTCCTTGTGACTGCCCAAACTTCCGAATCTGCTACTGCCAGCTTCGAAATCGGTGACCTCCTCCTCTTTTATGTCCTCGAGGGGGCCCCGATCGTACTCGATGTCATAGACTCGAGGATCCGCGTGAAACTGCATCTCTATCCACTTTTTCCCCCCCTCGTACTGCTCTTCGTCCTCGGAATACGACTGCGAGTACTGATCGTCGTTGGAAACTTGCGGCGGGCTTTCCTCCGATTCGAAGTCGAACAATTCGTTGTTCTTCTTCGTTGTTGACGTTTGACTGGTCAACAAAGAGACTTGCGTGCCTTCTTTGTTCTCCGTTAGAACAAGATTTTCGAGGTCCCGATCGTACTGCTTGCTACTCGCCTGCGGTATAGCGCTGATGCGTATGCTCTTACCTTCGGAGTCGTACTCTTCAGCCTCTCTGCCGACCTCCTCTATCACTACAAAGTCGTCGATAATGTCGGGCTTGTCGACCATCTCGAAAGAGTCGCTATCCGGCGAATGACGATCCGACGACGATTTCTCTTTTCCTACGACCGTGTCGATCGACACGCCCGATATCGAGGACGTCGACATGCTTGCCTGCTGTTGCATCATCGACGCTGTTGACGTTTGCACGGACATTTCAGGGCTTTCGCTCGATACTCCAGCCGCGACGTAATACTTTTGTTCCAAAAGCTCGGACTCTGTCACGTCTGGCACGTCCGGCACGTCCAAAGTCCGTCCAAAGACGGCCTCCTCATCCTCCTCCTCCTCCTCCTCCTCCTCCTTCTCCTCCTCCGCGGCCTCCTTTTCGGCCATCTCGGCCATCTCGGCCACCTCGGCCACCTCGGTCACCTCGGTCATCTCCGTGTTAAAAGTTTCGCCCTCGACTCTTTCCATTTCGGATTTCGACTCGGCCTCGGGCGTAGCTTGAGTAGAGATCACCTGGGTACACACGCTCTGTACACCGTCCTCGGAAACCCGTGATGTCATTATATCTACAGATTGAAGCGTACCGGTTGTCGTTGTGAACGTGGACGTAGCGAAATCGATCCCTTTCGCGTCGCCCCTTGCCACCTCCAAATTTGCCGCTTCTTCCGTTTCGCGTTCACTTTTGACTGCGGCGGCGGTGGTGGTGGTGGTGGTGGTGGTGGTGGTGGTGGTGGTGGTGGTGGCGGCGGTAGCGGTAGCGGTAGAAGAAGCGGTAGCGGTAGCGGAAGCGGAAGCGGTAGCGGTAGCGGTAGCGGAAGCGACAGCAGTACCGGCAGCAGTACCGGCAGCAGTACCGGCAGCAGTACCGGCAGCAGCATCGTCCAGCACTTGCGGAAATATCATTTCGGACGATCGCTTCATACGACAAGGTATATCGCTGTAAATGTTATCCATCTGTTCGTCGATCGGCATGTCGCTGCCCGAGGAATCCAGCGACTGTTCGGTGTGCTCTTCGTCCAAAACGTCGTCGAGCTGTTCTTCCGCCTCTTGTTTGTCCGCGTCGGTTTCCGAGGGCACCAACGTTTCCGACAACTCGCTGGTACTGTCGATGCTACCGAGGTGACCGGAACTCAAAGAAGTGAGAGATTTCATAGACTCGCGCGAGCTCATCGTCGTCGCCGCGGTATGATACTCCTGCGAGGTTGGTTTCGAAGAGGACGAATGCTCGATAGACATCATCGCCGTTTCGTATTCGGAGGCGGTCGCCGAGGGTACGCCGCAGGATTGCAGAGCTTCTACGTCGGAAGAGCTAGGTCGGCTACCACTGCCGATCTCGTAGTCGCAAGACTGATAATTGCTACTTTCGCCAGAACTAGAGCCAAGATCCGCGTCGCTGTCGGATGTGACGCGTTTGCAGCTTCGGCTGCCGGGTTTCTGCCGCCTTCTCAGCACTGGACGTGGCAAAGCCAAAGAAGAACTTTCATCTTTATTGTCTATATCTGAACCTGACCTACTAGCAGGCACAGGGCTAGGATGTTCCTCCTCCTCCTCCTCCTCCTCCTCCTCGTCGTCTTTCGTATCATCGTGGACGGTTATCGCAGCAGTCTCTACGTCGTCAGACTTTTCGGTTTTGATCACAGGTGTGTCGCCTTGGGTCGGGTGTATCGGGTGTATCGGGTGTATCGGGTGTATCGGCTCCTCTATACTGCTACAAGTCGATTCTTCCATCTCCGTTTTACTTTCGGTGCTGTACGTTTCTTTCGTTTCGTACGGCATTGACTTGTCGATCGGTGATTCGCTCTTGATCGCTCTCGCTTCGGTGTCCGATTCGTGTGTTTGTTCAGACGGCGTGTATAAAAATGGTAAATCGTTCGGGATGGATTCCGGTTGCAGTTTAAATCGAAACTCCGAAGGTGAGTCTTTTATTTGAATCACAGTTTCGCTATTTTCGCTTAATTCCTCTATCAGGTCTTGCTTCGCCGCCTCTAACGACTCCTTCACCTCGGCTATTTCTTTTTTAACTACCTGATCTAGAACGGTTATAGCGTAACGTGCACTTAAATCAACACTAGGGAGATCATCTTTTTTTATTTTAAAGGCACAAGTGTCGGAAGGAACTGTCGTGGATCTTGCGGGCTTGTCGTGTTTCTCCGTACCTTTCTCCATATGCCTTTTGTAATCGTCGCCCAACGGTTTCATTTTCGACAGATAAGCCTCGGTCCACTCCTTCAATACGTCGTCCATGCGCACTGGTTTCTCGAGCTCGGTCGCCGCTGCTGCTCTCGCCTCCTCCTCTCGCGACGCTTGTCCCTCGGGCTTCTCGCTCACTTTCAACGACACCGTTCCTCTTCCCTCCAATTTCAGTTCGATCTCTGTCTTTGAAGCTTGAACTTTACCTTCCGTCTTGCCGAAGGTTTTTTTACCGAGCAAAGACGCGTCTTCCTCTTTGATCGGTTCGTCGCGAGTTTGGAAGAGCCCGGAAGACATCTCGGCACGCGAGTCGTCCGGCTTTACTTTACTTTCCTCCTTCGGAAGAGCTGCCTCTCGCTCTTCCGATTCGCCCATCCGTCCGCCACTTATTTCTTCCGCGTATTCTTTGATCGGCGTTTTCGCGTCGTACTCGCGTTGCAGCGTGTCGACCAACTCCTGACAACTAACGTCCAACTTATTTTCCACCAACTCGCTTTCGAAATCTTGTTCGCTGACTGGAATTACCGTAAACTTTGTTTTACCGAGAGTCGACGGAGCAACCGGAGCATCTTTGTCCGTACAAGCAACTGTCTCCTTCTCGATCGACTCTATCACGCTAACATCTTCCGAAGATTTGGTGCCGGACTCCTGTTCGTGATCCGTCGATCCCTCCAACGAAGACAGTCGTTCCTTTTGCCTCATCGATTCGTACGCTTCCAATTCCTGATTAAAAATCTGAGACGGTTGCAGCGTCTCCGATATCTCGATCTTCTCGTCGCCGATCATCCAATCGACAGGTTTAATCTCCAGGCCACGAACCTTTGGCTTCGGCGAAACCAGCGGAGGACTTTCAATTTCGAAGCTGTCCGCCCTTTTCGTGCATATCGGCCCGAGCTCTCTTTGCATCCCCTTTGCATCTGCTACAGGCTGATGATGATGGGACGGCTCTTGCACCAAAGAATAATCAACATTGATGTCTTCCGATACGGTGCTAGGACTTATCGTTATGTCCCGTTCTTGAGCCAGCCTCTCCAGCGAATCCATCTCCGCGCTCTCGTGCAACGACGGGATCCCCCTGCTCGTCTGTTCGGATAACTTCTGCTCGTCCATTTCGAGCGAGGGCACGTCGACCGAATCTTCTCTGGACTGACTGTCCACGCCAGGCTCGACGACTTCCAAAACTCTGGCACCCGAGATCTCGGACATCATCTTATCCCGAGGGAAACTCGCGTCGATCGTGCTCTGCAAGTCTCTTTGCAGTTCCATTTGACTGCTCGTTGACTTGCCGAATCGTTGTTTCTCAAATTGCGGGCTCAAAAACCCGGTTGGTTTCGACACGCTTTCCAGTTCGTTCGTATCAACGTCGATCGTCTCTTCGAAATCAATCTGCTCCGATATGCTGCTGGGGCTCATGGTGATGTCTCTGTCTTGCAGTTTAGCTTGAGACGACGAAAGGGGGAAGCTCGGCTCTTTCTCGTGCGGAGACGACTCCTCGTCTTTGGTTATGTCTTCGCTAACGCTTATACTGTCTCTCGTTGAACTCTTCTCCAGAGATTCTTCCTGTATCGACGACCTCAATCTCAGCGATTCCGCCAAACTTTCCTCCGCCATTCTCCCCTGTCCCGCTTGTTGCTTGTCCATCGTTCGCCTCATGATGCTTTCGAATTTCCGCGTCAGATCGTCAGCCAGTTTCTCGTGGTCCGTTTCGACGCTCTCGCTTATAATTTGTTCCAAGTAACCTTTACCGAGCAGCTCCGCCTTCAAATCCGCCACCGATTTCGCTTCAATCTCGCTTTCGATCGACTGAATCAAAGTTTCCGCTATAGTACGCGCCTCGATCTCTTTGAACTTTTGCCGTTGCTTCTCCTCCAAACTTTCCTCGGTCGGCGATTTGGCCGCTCGTTCTTTCGTTTCTTTCCTTTTCGCTTCTTCCTCTTCTTCTTCCTCCTCCTCCTCCTCCTCCTCCTCCTCCTCTTCCTTCAGCAAGCTTCTTTTTTTCTCCTCCTCTTCCTCCTCCTCCTTTCTTTTCTTCTTGGCACTCGGCACAAACTGGACAACGTCGAAACTCTCCTTGGTCTCTCTACGCGACTCTGCCTGAGCGAGCGTTTCGACGCGGTCCGAGTCCATCGAGGTGGACGGTGGTCTCGATATCCTTTCCGCTGCCGGCCTTCCTTCCTTCCTCTCTACCGTTCTCACCTCCTCGTCCTCCTTCTCGCCATCCCTCTTCCTACCGTCCGCGTCTTTCGTTATCCGGATGGCTACCTCAGCGTCGCTCTCTCTCGACACGCTGCTACCCGCCTCGCGAGTCGTAACTCCCTCCTTGTCCGACAACATCTCGCGCGTCTCCTCCTTCTTCGTCTCGGCTCTCGACTCGGACGCGGCTGCGTCTATCACTTTCTCCGTGCCTGTCAAATTCATCGACAACTTTTGCACCGCCCTCTTGTCCAATTCCTCCCGCTTGCTTTTCTTCTCCTCCAACGTTTCCGTTGGCGACTCTTTCTTCAACTGCGACTCCGACGATTTCTTCCTCTCCACGCGTTCCTTCTCCTCCAGCGTGACAACCTTCTCCGTGCCGTTGGACACTTCCGAAGACACCACCTCTTTCTTCTCCAGCGTGGTGCACGTTTTGTGATCGATCTTCGAGGTAACGGTCGCAAATTCCTTCTTCCCTCTCCCCTTTGCGCTTTCCATCTCCTCGAACATTTTGAAAGCTTCCTCCGGATCGGTAAAAGACTTGGAAAATGTTTGCGTTTCGCTCTTGGTAGTCGAGTGCTCCTCCAATTTCGAAGTCACTTGTTCGCTCAGCTTTTTCTCCGTTATCGTGTACGATTCGCTCTCCTTCTTCACGTGCGTGTCCTTCCTTCCAAATTTGTCCGACGTTGGCTTCGCCTCCACCACCCGTTTCGGTATTCGCGATTCAAATTCTTTCTTCTTAGTCGTCGGCGAGATTTCTTCCTCCTCCTTGTCGCTCGGTTCCTTCTCGCTCTCCGGTTTACTCGCGAGCTGTGTTACTTTCGCTTTCGTTTCCCTTTGGATTTTATCTTTTTCTATTTTCCCCATCGAAACGGGAATCCGTGACTCGAATTCTTTCTTAACGGTTCTCGTTTCAACAGTCTCTGTCGCCGCCATCATCTTCTTCTTCTTCTTCTTCTTCTTCTCCTCCTCCTCCTCCTCCTCCGTCTTCTCCTCGTCTTCTCCGTTCTCCTCCTTTCTGTCCTCCTTAGTCTCTCCATCCTTCTTTCGAGTCCATCCTTCTTCTTGTCCAACTTCTCTTATTGCCCTTCCATCTTTCGCCAACATTTCCATCGTCTCTTTTCCAACATCGGTCGAAGCTGCATCGATCTCAGCTCTTACATCGCAGATAGGTTCGTGCAACAACTCTCTCTCGACGATGCTCTCGGGAATTTCAATCAACCCACTCAAAGCCTCGCTTCCTCCTTCCACTTGAACAGACTTTAATACCTTTTCTTGAATCAGACTACCGTCTTTCTGTACCTTGTAGATGATGGTAGTTTCTTCCGTTATAATGCGTTTTCCACTCGATTTTCCTTTAACGATGTCTTCCGATTTCATATCCGGTGTTTCAACTCTTTCTCTCGCGATTCCGACAACATCCGCAACAACAGCTTCTTCCCTTTTTCCCCCTTGCACCTCCACCTCTGGATCACGACGTTCAGCAACGTCCTCTCGCGCCTCTTTCCGTCTTGCTTCGCCTTCTGGCTTTTCCCCCATTTCCGTCGGAGGTCTCTTCGTCGCTTCCACTCCCTTTTCCTCGATATCCCATACTTTTTCCTGCTGCGCAACTACTCGTTCCATCATCGCATCATCTTTCCTACCGTCTTCTTTCGCTTCTTCCTTTTCGCGCAAACTCATTTCCTTCCCTTCCTCTTCTTCTTCTACACTTTCCCTTATTCTCTCTTCGCCTGCGACTACGTCGATCCTTCCTTTCCCTTCACCTTCCTCTTTTCCTCTCCTCTTCGATTCTGGCGTTGGCTCCTCCACTTTCTTTCTCATTTCTTCCACGCTTTCTCTCGTGCGTTCTCGCGCGACCAGACATTCCGCTCTTGCAGATTCTACAACGTCCTCTCCTTTCTCCCGTACGTCTTTCGTTTCTTTCGCGCTTTCCGACTCAGCCGATCGATCCGCCAACGATGCCGCGCTTTCTTCCACTTTCCCATCGATCGATGGCAAACGGTAACGTTCCGTCACCTTCTCTACGTGCATCTCTGTTTCTACTAGTTGTAGACTACCACGTTGAGGCGCTTCGTCGGCTTTCGCGTAATCTTCTCTCCCAAACACTTCCGTGTAAGTTTCTTTACTCTCGTCTTTCTCCTTTTCGTCTTCAGAGGACCGTTTCGTCTTTGTTTCTTTCGTTTCGATCGCTCTCCGTTCTTCCGCTTCTCCCAAGGCGACTCCTCCGCTCTCCTTCTCCCTCTCCGTCTTTTTAATTTGCTGCTTCAGCTCGGCCACGTGCTTTTCATCCTTGTCTGCCTTTTCTTCTGCCTTGTCGCTCGTCTTCGTTTTCGTTGGCTTCTCCCTCTCGTTCGATTTCAGCGAATCCTGTTGATGCAACTTGGCCGGAAGTTTCGTCGTTTCTTTCTGTATCTGTTCCTCGAAATACTGAGCCTTCTCCGCTACCGAACACTCGGAAATATCAGGTACGTTCAGATCCTCCAACGTTTCAGACTTGCCCATCTGTTGAACCATGTCCGCCGTGTCCTCCGTGGTAACATTCTGCACGTACTCGCTGTCGCTTTCGTTCGTCGTCAACTGCGACGTTCTCGACACCTCGGATTCCGATCGTTGATAGCTTTCCCGTTTCCTCGAGATATCCTCCCAGAATTTCCTCTTCTCTGAATAGCTTTGTCTCTCGACACTCGGCGACAAGTGCTCTTGCTCCTGCCCGACTACTTTACTGGGATAACTAGCATCTACAGATTCTAAGGAACAAGCCGCTTTTTGCGCAAGGAATTCGTGGATGGTAACAGCATCTAGAACAACCAAGAATTATGCTCACATTACTTTTTATTAGCTAAGTACATAGTATCGTATAATATGCATGAACATGATACATTGTGTATATATTTACAATTTCATGTGTAACTGTGTTAAATCGAACTTTTACAAGCATAATGCGTAAACACGATTCCTATATATTTCATAGCATTCGTTTTCTTTTCTTTTTTCTTTTTTCTTTTCCTTTTTCTTTTTCTTTTTTTTTAACGTTATTAGACACAACGCTATCGTAAACTCTGTTACTGTACATATAACAACTTGCTTTCAAAAATAAATAATACAATTTCAAAAATACAATCTCGTGACCGAGTTATTTATTATTAATCTGTCTTTAAACTTGCAACACGGTATACATACGTATGTATATGGTATAAGCATTAATACACGTGTAACTCTAAATTCCTTTAATTGCTGTCTTTGTTTTTCTTTTCTTTTTTTTCTTTTTTTTTTATATCTTTTTTTTCTTTTTTTCTTTTTTTTNTTTTTTTTTTTCTTTATCACAAATATCCGCAGATATTAGTATCCTTTGAGATTTAAAATTAATATCCCATGCGGTTGTCTATGATAATGTTGAGGACGGCAGTTTTGTCTGCAAGTACAAGTACAGAGAGATTTTTCGTTAATACCAAAAGCAGAAATGACATTAAAGCAGAAATACTTTCTATCGATAAGTTCTTGCAACACGCGTGTACATTTAATATACGTATCGTCACAATGACTTTCCTTCGTTGTTGATATATATTTTTCCCATTTTAGCAAAGCTGATTTCGATCGACTAGAATTCCTAATTGCAAACGTTTCATACGTTAAATACATATATGTATGTTAAATTCGAAAGAAAAGGAGCAAAAATTGTACTCAAAGCACGGTGCAAAAGAGAAAGAAAAGATTCGCATGGAAGATTAAAACTGTACGAACGCGACATGGAATGGAAAATAATCCTGATGAAAATTTAAAACTTTAACATTTTATAAGCTGAAAATAATACTCATCGTCCTAACTTATCGTCCAACTATTTATTTTAAAAATATATCTATAAAAATGTACTTTCCGAACGCGTTGAATGAGTTTAATTTCCAAAATGGTACGTAAATGCCCAAAAAAATCGATATCGAAAATCGGTTTCTATAGAAGGTCAAATTTTTTTTTTTTTTTTTTGCACAGCTTGTATCGTTTTTTTGACATTGAAATTAAATTATTATTCATGTGTATCGTGTGTATGTAGGCAAGTAACGGTCAGACATGTGTATATAATTACAATAATAAAAGTTGAAATTGAAACAAATTTTCAAATCGTGAACGCAGTCTACCGTCTATCGCAATCTATCGTCTGTTCATCACGTTCAAATGTCGAATTATTTTCTAACATGTACGCACATATGTATACCTTGAGAGTATGTGTGTACATACATACATAGATACATACATACATACATACATACATACATACATACATACATACATACACACATACGTATGGTTAAAGTATAAAAACTATCAAACTTGTACATTTGTGTGAAAGATTTAAATATTGAAAGAAGAAAATATTCAGTGTAAGCTTATATATCAAAATACATTTTTATTTCAAGTCGCTGCAAAATAAGGTCAACAATAAAATTACACAGCGTAGATAGTTTATAAAGATTTTCAACTCATCGGTTGTCAAGTAATATTGTTTAATCAATTAAATAATCAATCTCCAACTGTTTCAACGACGCGCGTTCCGTTTCGTTCGTTACTTTGTTTTTCTACGCTCGAATGAACCAAAGGCAATTCAATAATTTTCAATAACTGAAATAACTAAAATGCGAAAAATGTGGATACAAACGAGAGTTTGTATCATCGATATTTTTTATCTTGATACGCGTTGTGAAATAAATCGTTGCAGAATATAACGGAACAGAATATAATCATATTTAACTTTATTCTTATTCTTTACGCAAAGATGTAAGAAGTACGATTTTTCAGAGACTTTGATCGATTCGGACAATTGACGGAATATTCCGAATACATAGAGACGGTACATGTTCCACCTGACATCGGACCATATAACATTTGCTGTGGCTACGTGTTTCATAATTACATATGTATATCCAGTGCATCGTTGCGTAAATTCCAACACGTTGCGTAATTGGACAAGCTAGATTCAACACGTGTCAAACGAATTTCTGTGAGAAAAAAGCTCAAACAGTATTTTACGGTATTTTTCTATCCGGTTGCGTTAGGAAGCGTATTTGGTAAAGTCATGTCCTTACCGTCGTCGACACGTTTCAAACGAATTTATTCATTCGGATCAACTTCCTCGACGTCGGTGTGACAATCGCTAGCCCCGTCGTCGCTAATATCTCTCACGGTCAACATGTTCTCCATTTTATTAATATTTTTCATGATCACTTGCGACGCTACCAGAACGTCCAAATCTTCGAGCAACTCCTTTTGACTGCAGCAGGCTTCCTGCGCGTCTTCCTCCTCGGACACATCCATCTCCTCTTCGTCGGTATTCGACATAACCACAATGTCCGGCCTGCCATTACACATTAGGCATTCGTTTCGTGGCTCTTCTTCTCGATACAATTTATTTCGCACTTCGACGGAGAATGGCCCATCACCTTCCTTGGTCGTTATCGTTTCTCCGCTATAGTCGCAGAATATATCGGACCTCGGCTTTACGTAAATCGTCGAGTCTACCTCGTCGTCCTCGCCATCCTCACCTTCCTCGAGATCCTCGAGATCGGTGTCACCTTGGCAACACAGACTCTTGGCAACCTTGAGGTTATTCCGATTCTCTTTCTGCTCGGTTTCCGGATCGCTCGGATAAATCTCGTCAACGTCCGTAAGATTTTCAACGAAATTGCTACGCAGAGACGACTCTTTGTCATCCGTCGGTGACAAGAGATCCGAGCCTTTAACTTCCACGTCGTCGCACGTTACAGAGATAATCGGCCCTTGTTGCTCGTTCGCTGTGCGACTCAACGGCCTGATCGGACACGATTGAATCGACGTTAACTCTCCTTCGGAATCGGTGTCGGAAAAATGTAGCGAGGTATTGTTGATCATGGCGTTCAGTTTTCTACGCGTCGATCTCAATTTACGCTTTACTTTTATCCCTGTGACACATTCTTTCGATCCTTTCGAAGGACTCGAATTTTCATCGACAACCTGCGAACTTTCTTTCTCGTTTCGCTTCGTCCGTGACTGGTCGTTGGTTCGATTCGGGTCTAAAGAACCAATACCGACTGTGGCCTTGTCGACGAACAATCCGTTTTCATTTGCCGATTTTAACGTGCAACATTCTTCCTGTTTGTCACTTGATTCTTCCATAGTGAGAGATTTCTCTTCCGAGAATAGCTACGTATCTTTCTTGCTCCTTTCTTTTTCTTTTTCTCCTTTTTCCTTTTTTTTTTCTTTTTTCTTGTTTTTGTAAGACTTAGCGCGTGGATCTTAAGTGCAAATTATTAAAGAACTTAAAAAAGCCTGAAACTGAAAATTATAAAGAAAGATTGAACTGAAAGCCTGAGACTGAAAATTATAATGCAAGAATAATACAAAACGGTGTAGTCTGTAGTCGGTGTGTGTGTGTGTGTGTGTGTGCGCGCGCGCGCGCGCGCGCGCGTGTCATGGATAAACAAAGTAAAAGTAAAAAAAAAAAAGAGTGCAACAGATATTTACAAGTAGCTCGACTTGAGCAAAATAAACTCACATGTGTAAAATTTTGGTAGAGCGATACTCGAAAGAAGACGGCTCTTAAAAGTATTGCTTCCAGCAGTGTTTCGGATCAAACTAAACAAGGTTCGGTCACAGTCACATCGAACGTTTGTTGATACTCTTATGCATAATTAAATTAAAGAAGCCTCGCTCAACGGTCGAGCCGTAAGCAGATTAACGTTTCCTCTTAAATGAAAATGGAATTACAGTGGAACTTTGCTGTGCCATGTAGAACGAAATTGCTTTAAAAATAACTTTTCTTTTGCAATGTAAAAGCAAATTTGCGCAAGATGTCATAAATAATACTTCCACGATCAAGTTGATTAATCTACAATCGATACACGTTTATTTGCATAGTTTCTTGCTTGTTATATAAATTCGTGATCGTTCTCGAGCAATTCTATCCATATTTCTAAAAGTACGTCGTTCCTCGTTACACATTTGAATATTGAAATTTTCTTTTTTGCACCTTGCAGTTGAATATTCAATCAAACTACACGTACATACGCGCGTACGCACATTATAATTTCTCTAATTTTTTATACGCCATTGCAACAAAACTAACGGACGTTATATTCAAAGTTTCTTTTCCTTCGTTGCTCCAACATTGCTACTCGTCTAACGTAAAGTGAATAGGTGAACATACCTGTTCGTTCTTTTTGCAAGGTGTCGGTAATAAATTTCTTTTCGGAAGGCGATGTGTCCTTAGGTTCGTCACCTTTTTCTTTCTGTTCCACCTTGTACTTCAATTCGTACGAATCCAATTTCTGATTAATAATATTTGAATCTTCGTAATCTATAGCGGAAAAAACGAGCATCTATCGTCAAGTGTCGTTAAATAACTACACATGTACATGCATATATCTAGTACGCGCAGATAGCATTGGTATGAATATACGTTCAGCAAATCTTACCTTTCAATTTCTTTTGTACTTCAACTTTGGTCGTAATTTCTGGAATAACGATATTTAACACGCAAATTGGTTGTTGAGGTGGTTCTCCCTTGGCAACTTTCGGTTCTCTCATAAACAACATCCTAGCGACAGGATCTAACAACGGATCCTTCACTTTTACGTGAAAGGATAAACGATTTTGACGAAAAGCTTTAAAGGTAAATTTCAATTGTACACCCGACTTCGTCACAGGTACTAAATTTCCACTAAACTCGATATAAAGATCTTTCCCATCAAGCGCCTGTAAAAAAATACGTAAAGAAGTATGTAGGTACGTATGTACGTGCACATAATATAATAATAATAATAATAATAATAATAATAATAATAATAATAATAATAATACACATTGTACATTGTACAGAAGTACATGTATAAATATATTTTTGCATTCTTCAAAGACTTTGTAAATGAAACGAAATAAATATTACGCAATGAACGATATTTACTTCAACATCACGGCTTTTTACAATTTCGACAAATTCCTCTTGCCTTTCCAACGTATGCATTCCTTCCTTTCCGTCCGTCATACATAATATTCTCAGTGTTGCCTCGAGCACATCCATTCGTTTCGAATATATTATGAAACTGTATTATTACAAGAGAAAGATTTACAAGGGAGAGATTTAAAGAAATGAGATCGATCTAATTAAACATCTAATTAAAGTGACAGCAACAACTTGGTAATGTAGGCACGTACTTGGTAATATAGGGCACAAATAACGATTCCTCGTACAATTCGGTTGCCATCTTTGGAACTGCTCCTATATTTCGGCAATCCATTAACCAAAATCGTGCGGACACAGTTGTAGTAAAGGACACTGTATCGTTCATAAAAGTTAACGGTGTCGAACCAGTAACATCTTCCCATTGTGATTCGCTCGTCCCACCTAAATTTAAAATTAAATACACATGTCCACACATACATACGTACGTACGTACGTACATACATACATACATACATACATACATACATACATACATACATACGTATGTATCTATATGTACTTTTACTACCGTAGAAAAAGGATCTCATGAATCATTGAGGATGAAATATTCACGACAGAATATTTGTCACATCGTCTCATCTCTGTTCGCCTCGTTCATAAATTTCAATTAATTTTAAAACACTTTGAAAGTCTTTTAACAAATAGGTTACTTCGAAATGTTACTACAAAGATTGTAAAAACGGCATTTGCTGTATTAGTAACTTTTGTAACCCGAGAATTTTCACTTGTAAACGTATGAAAAGCGATTTTCAATTGAAAATGTGCGACATTTTGCGAATGCTACGTTGGAATTTTTGGGTTAAATTTTACGCGAACGAATGATATTCATACGTACGATCTTCGATGAAATCGATGTAAAACGCTACTTGACAAATTTTTTTATTTTTTACCTGCAATACTACACAAAAGGCGTAGCGTTGGCGTTTCACCGCCGTAATGATTAATCATTCCTTTATTCGCTGCTTGAGGTACCGGTATCGTAAGAGTAATTGGTTTGTGAAATTTTCGTCTTCTCGGCTCGATCGTTATTACTGGGGAGACAGCTACGCAATTTCCTAGTAGTTTTGCTGTGAGCTCTGCCGGAATTACGTGTGCCTACGAGAACATTTAAATGTGTGCCAACGTTCACATTTCTCCAATCATACGTTTTCCCACTTGGCACGGAACAGTTTGTAGAAATGTTACGTGTGTACATACACGTACACACGTAAACCACCAAACTACAATACTGCTTAAATACCATCAGGGTGATTTGACTCAACTCACTTGTAATCCAACTTTAATCTTCTTTGTTAAAGCTCCTGGTGGAAAAACAGCTTGGACGTCGTTAGCCACGCTCGAAGTCAAAATTCCACCTTCGGCACCGATTACGTGCACCTCTTGTTTAATTCTCGTGACAATAGCAAAATATTGAGGGAAATCTGTCGTTACTATGCGAGTAATTCTGCCAGAATGAGCAGCGCTCATTTGAGGATCTGCAAAATAAGTTCAAAAAATCTTGTCGTCTTCTCAAATCATGTCGTCACTCGGTGAAACCATGAAATAAAGTAAACGCATTGCCAAGGCAAAAATACCATGCGGAGTATTTAACAGAGTAGCGTCATTATCGGCAGAATTATCATGCTCTTTCCACGTTTCTCCATTTTCACTTCTGAGAATAATGATTTCTCTCTCTTTGCCTCGAATAGATGCAAAGTGCGGTATATCGATTAAAACAGGCCTAAAACGAAATACGCATACATATACATCCGGTTTATTTTTAGTAATGAGAAATACAATTTTATTATTATTATTATTATTATTATTATTATTAACGATTCGATATCGAGGAATAGTGGTAGAAGATGTGGACGTTACCCTAGAAACGTTGCACCGATTGGTCCCATCTCTATAACACGAGTTGCTAAAGCCTCTCCCTCCATTAAAGGAGGAGGATTTGCAACTTTATTAGGTTTTATCAATCTGCACGTAACGCGAATTGGCATTGTTGCTCTGCGTGGTGGTACGATGATACGCACCCCACTGTGTCTACATCCTTTCATAGCACCTCCACGTGCGTCCACCAAGAAACTCACTAAAAATCTAAACATTGAAATTCTCGTTAGAAATCATCTGGCCGTATGTGTCTATCAATAATAATCAATAACAATCCAACTGATCGAATTAAATGTATCAACCGATCAACTATGCTACATATCAATCAGCGCACACGTTTTTCATTCTTTTGGAACACCCAAATCAACTGAATCGTACAGATTGACATTGAAATTGAAATTAAAACTTTATGCAATTAAAAGTGAATGTCGATGCGTGCGCCAATTTGAATATAAAATTATATGGCAAAACGACCATATCCAAGACCATATCCAGACCATAAATCGGTTGCAATTTGTGACAATCATACTAATGGAAAAGGCAAAAATCGTGAAATAAAAATAATAACTGATCGGTAAATTATATCGACTTGAACGAGTCGTTAGGAAAAAATATAAAATTTGTACAATATTTACATTGGCAAGTGAAAAATCATTAAAAATCAATTGTGAATCTTAGTGATGAAAGTTACTACTTACGATCTGAAATGAAGTCGGCTAAAAATGAAAATGTTTGATTTTCATTAATAACAAGAATCATCTCGTATAAAATTTTACGCGACAAATATGTATTATACTTCATGCGTCATTGAATAATAAAATATTTTTAAGCAATTTAATTTAGTATCTATCTATTGCGTTATCATAAAAAAATCGTATTTACATACCCCAAGTTAAATCCATCAGTATCAAAGTTTTCAGCTAGACAATAATTATTGCTTTGAGTGAAATCCTGTTTCTCTTCTTTTGTAACTAGTCGAAAACAACGCACCAAATTACGTAAAACGATCGTGACGTTTGTAAACAAACAATCTGTGTATTTTACCTTGTCTGTGTATCGGATCATCTCGTGTAACATCAATGGGCAAAGAATCATCTCTTAAACTTTTCATCAAATCTGCTGTAAGATATCGATACGGTTGCTCACTGATCAATGCGTCTGAACCTGTAACGAATATTTACATACATACATACATACATACATATGTATATCTTGGTTGAGTTTTGTTTTACAAGAATATTTCATTTCTAAAATGGCCAACTTGTATTTATACATGTATATATACGTACATACTATATACATATTCTCTAACTAATTGTACTGCGTACAATTCTAATTTGAATTTTGGCATAAATGTTTATTTTCTTATCTCTATAAAACATAAAATGCAATACGAAACTAATCAGACAACAAATAAGAAAGTAATTCTTAAATTTCGTTTAAATTGCGTTTCATCGTATGAATTAGACATCGTTTTGATTGTTTCGATAATCAAGAAAGATAATTTATACGTGTAATAAAACAATGTTTGAACATCGATTAAAAACATCGTACCTCCTTCGTCGTCGGAATCAGACATAAAACTGGTTTCTTGCAGACTTTCAGGTGCTATGACTTTATACTTTTCGTCCCAATTTTTATTATCAGGTGCCAATGTATCATAAGACAATCCTTTCAATACCTCCATTACTGATATGTATCCTAATTTCTGAGCTATATTTAATGCCGTTAATCCGTCCTAAAATAGTTTTACACATGTACACACATATGTACACACATACGTGCCTTTCTACCATCAAGTGTTTCAAAACATTTAATATTCAATGTTTTGAAATTGTGAGTTAACAATAGGTACTGTTATGCGTACAAATGTGAAATATATCTGTATACATACATACATACATACATACATACATACATACATACATACATACGTACGTACGTATACGTACCTATCTAGTTGCAGGAAATACATACACTATATGGAATATTATTGATATTATTATTACATGAAACATCGTTGTGTACATACTTACGTTAGTTCGTGCTTTATGAGAAGCATTTCCTTCTAATAACGCGCTAACGATATGCGCGTGACCTTGTTGAGCAGCTTGATGCAGCGGAGTATAATTTTGATTGGTTTTTACATCGATTGTTGCGTTGTGCTTCAAGAGAAATCGGATCATCGAAAGATTTCCAAAATGCGCCGCGACATGAATCGGTCGGTAACCAGTTTCTGTTTTACTTTCTACATTCGCACCATTTTTCACAAGGATAGAAGCCACTTTAATGAAATCTTCTTGGGCGCAGAGATGCAATGCAGTGAGACCATTCTGAACAATATGACAATTGTTGTCGCTTGTTAACGAATGATATGAAATTGCTAAACACGTTTTTGACAATTAAAAATGTACGAAACAACACCATCAACGTCATTGAAATGAAATGAAATGAAATGAAACGTACGTATGTTGAATACGCATATGCGTTAATAGTAATTAAAAGATGGCAAAGATGGTGGATAATCTTTGTAACCAAGAAATTTAAAATGGTAAAAATAAAATACAAAATTATAGAAAATTATTAATCGATTACTCGCATCGATTTTTATAAATCTATAAAGACAAAAGTCTATGAAAATCAAGTTTAGTTGTCAAAAATAATTAAAGACAATTGAAAATAATTATGAATAATTGTTCATAAAATCCGGGAATATATACGTTCACAAAAATATACATACTAGATACAATTGATGATAAAACGATACTTTTACCTTTGACTTGTGATTTGGATCAGCTCCGTGCTCAATCAACAAATTCGTCATATCATAGTGACCTTTCTGTGCACTTAGATGTAGAGGCGTGAATCCTGCTTTTGATTCAGCGTTCGCATTCGCTCCATTCTCCAACAGAGTCGAAGCAATATCCATCTAAAGAATTTTCAATCGAGTCATCATAAATCGAGATTCTGAATCGAGAGATCGATATTTAAATCGTGCGTGTAGTACACATACCCTATTGTAAGTGTTTAGTTTATTTAGGTGTCTTTAAAGTACTATTTCTCATTTAAAGTGCTTTATACTTTTATAAATATGTATGTTTATAATTTTATAAGAAATGGAATCTACGCAGAGAATTTATCTACGAAATATCACCTACAACAGATATATATATATATATACTATACTTTGAATATCACCGTCATTTTCTCGCAGGATTAGATTAATAAAGTAAAATAGAGCAGAATCGCATTTTTCATTTCTAGAAAATTTTCGACGAAAAGATTCAGCTATAACTGAAATCTCTTTCCGCCCCGCTTAAAATCGACACAGATATTATACTGATAGAACTATCAATTTACAATCATTTTACAATCAAACGAAAAAGAACACATTATGCCTTTTCAAACAACTTCGATACAACAAGATACTTTACCATTTCTCTCAAGAGTTAAGATTGTTACAAAACTAACAATTTTTCGGTGAAATGTATCATGTGACGCGATATGATTATACATAAATGTATAAAATCTATTGATAATTTCACCATTTTGCCATGGAATATTGTAGATACTACCTGATTTTTACGAGCAGCAATATGCAAAGGAGTATGTCCATTTTGCGAAGCTAGATGAGGGGATGCGCCTTTTTCCAAAAGAAGATTTGCCACGTTTGGATGATCATAGTGACACGCCAAATGTAAAGGAGAAATGTCATTCTGAAATGTTATATACATATACATTTTAATGTATTAATAAAAAATACGTAGTATATCAAAAATTACGTATACCTATCGTCAAAATATTCGTTTATGTAAAATAATAACATAGAATTTATTATCTAACAGTAAGTAAACGTAACATTACGTAACGGTAAGGAAAAAAGGAACCTGAACGTAAAAAGTTAATTAAATTCTTCTTAACTAATAAGATTTAATTGTTGATAAACGATTTGTACATCTACAAACGTAACACGGAATGAAATTGTATCAAGTATTGAGAAAAAACTCGTTACTTTGTACCCGTGTGAGTACATGCGTGTAATTATTCCATAAAAATAAGAGATGAAGGAATAATACTAGTGTGTATGTGTGTGTGTGTGTGTGTGTGCGCGCGCGCGCGTCTATATGTATATTATTATGTATATGTATATGTACATACATGATAACATACATGTCACACGTACATATGTACCTACTTACCTTTCCTTGCACGTCTAGTTTGATATCCCTTTGCAAAAGTATCTTTGCAACGCTCATATTGCCATATTTAGCTGCAATATGTAAAGGAGTAAAGCCGTTTTTAGTTGTAGCCTTAAGAGAAGCGTTATTTTCCACGAGAATAGTTGCCACCTGTATGCATATAAACACATTAATTAAATAAAAACTACATTATGTAATCGTTTACATAAAACGCTAAATTGTTATCTTATTTAAATTGAAATAAATTGTAATAGATGTTATTACATTGAGATTACATATGTGTATATCATCAGATATAATATGTACAATACGTATAATACATATTATAATATCTGATCAACGACCTCAAATTAACAAACAACGCATCAACGCATGTTGTTCATTTTATTTTAATTTAATGCTTCATGAAGTAAAAAATGTAGCAATTGAGTTGAGCAGGCAAAATTAACTTATAAATATACATAATATCGTGACATTGAAGTTTATCAACAATTTATCAAAATTACTTTGCACATCTAATGTCTTTAAAAGATATTACGAAAGCTTTATTAATGAATAATTTAAAAATGATTATCTACAACAACAAACTGAAATATTCACTCGTGACTTGAACGTCACTGAGACGTTAGCTTCACCTGCATGTAATAATCATTTTTACGAGATTTAAAAATATTGCTTATGAAATTCTTCCCACCATTATTTTTGTCAATAATAATTATTACTAAAGCTTCGTAATTCATAATGCTTCCATAAATAATGCAGTAAATATAATCAAAGTACAAAACGTACATCTCTCGGTTGAAACATTACAAGCTATATATTTTCTTTGATGTCTCAAATTAATTATAACAATCATATCGCTAATTCCATTTTTAGGTATCCGATAAAATTACCGACATGGTGTTTCTTCCTTCTTTTTCTTTTTTTTTTTAACAAAACAATACACACACACACACACATTACACAACTAAAGATACAAAAAAGATTTTAATATAAGAGGATAATATATACTCAAAACCGGAAACAAATATAAATATAATTGGCCGAACAAAAGGTAAGTATTATACATATGCAAAAAGTACGTTAAAAATACGTTAATAATGTACATATAGGGATATATGTATATAAATTATGGACAGAGAATATTGAGGCACGCTAACGTATTCTTTCCCCGATGATTATTATATTTGAAATAATTAATAAATAAATCTTAAAGCCACAAATTTTAACATTCCTCATATTCACTTTTCTAAATTATTTGTAAAAGTTTGAACTTGTAGTCGTACAACATCGTTTCACAGAAGACAGTAGAAAGAATCTTTTTTTCTCTCCATTCAAGGAGATACAAAAAGATACAAGATATTTCTCATTATGAGTGATACAATGAGGTATAACAGATAGAAAAATTGTTTTCACGCAATTTGTAATTTTAAATAATTACAAAGCTTGTAACATTTCACTTCAGAGACATTTTGTTCAAATGTAGCTTATTTTCTTCCAAGTTAAAGAAAAATAAAATTTCTTGAAACTGTACTCGGATTTTGTCACATAAAGTTGCTACAGCAAATAAGCTACAATCAATGAAAATGGAAGCATTTTCTACAAAATATTTCGTATTATTTTGTGAAATAAATAATGCAATGTTCCAATAAAACGCGAGTCATTTAAGAGACTGAAAGTTGAAATATTTCCGAAACTATTATCGAAAATAGTAATCCATCTCCTATTTAAGAAAATTTTATTCATTTTTCTTTTCTTTGTTTCTTTATAAATAACTGCTGGTGAATGATACATTTTTACACATCTTTCTTGTCATTTCTCTATCAAGTTTTCCCCCTTTACACGGCTCATTGCCATCATAACGAGTTGTCCATTGTTTCAAAATTCACAATCAGCTCTCAGAAAAACCACATTACTTATAAAAGATTTAGTGATCAGTTATAAAATCACTTTAAATTATGGATATAACAGGAGGAGGATCTCTCAACTTCTTACCTTAAAACGAATAAATCAATTTACGGACAGGTGTACACTTCAATACTACGTATCATAACATAAATACGAATGCAGGGTGTAGCGGTAGTGAGATAAAATTATCAATTTTTAAAATTTTAATAATGATATGCGCAACATAACATCGAAAGGAGGCAACATAAAAAATAATTAATGTGGTGAAAAATTTTATTAAAATTTAGTACAGATAAATAACTTAACATAAATAAAATATAACAAGTATAAACGAAACTTAACTAACAGGATGTGAAATGAAATGTAAATGATAAAGAGGAAAGTATGTAACAACAGAAAATAAGAAACATTTTAATTACAAAAGCTATATAAGGTATTCGCGATATCTTGTCCAAAATAAATATAATCTATTTTGAGTACTGATGTAATCCACTATCTTTGAAATTTCTTTGTACATTACCTCCTCTTGCCCTTCCTTCGCCGCAATATGCAACGCTGTGTACATATCTTTTGTAGTAGTGTCAACTGCTGCACCATGTTGCAGAAGTAACATAACAATGTCAATATTTCCTAATCGCGATGCAATATGAAGGGGTGTTTGTTGTTCCTAAACAGTTCGAACAATTACCGTATTATTAATGTATACATACATAGATGTATATGTATGTACGTGTATGTGTATGTGTATGTGTATACGTATAAATGTATAAATAATTAATGTGTTTTCACAGAAAATTAACAATGTAACGCGTGTGTATTATAAAAATAAATATAATAACGATAATGAGAAACAAACATTGAAAACAGAACGAGACTGGTTAATGGAGTGTGCGAAACATTTAATAAGAATGAATGCATGTGTGACCATTTATATGTATCGTTTGATTGCAAAGTGCGATTTTTGCCAAAACTTGCCCACATCGAGAAATACTTTCAAGCATGATTTTTTGTTTACTTACCCTTGCACGGGCATCAACTTTGGCTCCATTTCGTAATAAAATTCGAATAATGTCTGTTTGATTAGCTCTAGCTGCCAGATGTAGAGGTGTTTCACCTCTAACAGTTGGCACATCAGGATTGGCTTCGTGTTGTAGTAGAAATATCACGATATTCATACATCCCATAAAACTGGCCACATGTAATGGAGTCAGTCCAGACTGTAAAATATACGTTTTTTTTTCTATTAACATTTTGATACTATGACTCCATTCCTTCAAGTATTCCTTCCTTTCTTTTCTATTCTTTTCTTTTTTTTCTTTTCTTTTTTTTTCTTTTCTCTTTCTTTTCTTTTCGTTTCTTTCCTTTCCTTTCCTTTTCTTTCAGGTATTCGTCAATATATGTACAATACATAATATATATAGAATACATAGAAATGATCATCTATTATTGATCATGATCAATATCAATAGCTGTTAATCGTTAGCCGTTAACCAGTCTTTTCATAACCAAATGATAAAGTGTTTTACAACAAGCAAACCTGATGTATTTCCTTTTCCGAATCCATTTCTTTTTCATTATTTCAATTGTAGGCATATTTATAGATAGTCTGGCACACACGCAAAAATTAGGAAAAATGGCCACTTTTTATATTTCATTATCGAATCGAATGTTAAAAATACGCCAAAATTTTAAATACCTTTTTAACAATTTCGAAACGTTTGTACACAATGATATTTTACAGTTCGCGCGTTAAATTTAAATTAATTTAATTTAAGCTTTAAAATTTTTATTTATAAATACACAACTGTCGGATGCTTTTAAAATTTGATTTATGACTGCAACTATGAATGCACATGGAAAAGCATGTTTCACATTCATATGGTAGTTAAGAAAGTTGAAGCTAGGTATTTGTTTAATTCTCAAAATTTCGATATAAATATATAAATATATATATATATATATATATATATATATATATATATATATATTATTTATTATTATATGTATGTATGTATTTCTTCTTCACTTACACTATTTCGATTCTTATCTAACAAATTGTAATCAAACGACTATCTCAGGATTAAAATTAATACATAACCGTGTGAATAATTTCAAATGAAAAGAAAAATTAAAATGAATGGAAACTATTCTTTTGCAAGCGAATAAGATTATTACAAGCAATAATTAACTTGCAGATAATTGCAGAAATTACCATTACCTCGGTAGTAGATTCGATCGATGCTCCGTGTTTTAATAAGAGCTCGACAACTTTTATTCGATTCTTCTTGCAAGCGATATGCAACGGTGTAAAACCATTTAAAGCGCGTGCATTTGGATCAGCTTTTCGGTCCAAAAGTAATTTTGCAACTCTAACATGTCCGCAGTGTGCGGCAACATGAAGAGACGTTAAATAATCGATCGTAACTTCGTCCACTGGTGCTCGGTGATACAATAGTACCCTTGCCGCATCCACGTGATCTCCTTGCGATGCCATATGTAGCGGTGCAAGTCCATTCTGTGACATGTATAATTAATATGCTTGTCAATAAAGCTGACATGACATCGATTAATTTACACAATGTGTATGCGTACCTTTGAATTAAATTTGAATTAAACTTGATAACATTAATAATGAACGTTTCTTACGTACTTTCGTTCGCGCACTAATTGGTGCAGAATGTTCAAGAAGCGTGGTAATCACTTGTTCATGACCAGATCTTGCTGCACAATGAAGCGGTGTTAAACCATCCCTAGTTTTAGCATCGATTTGCGCAGAATTTTCTAATAATACTTTAACCATGTTGTTTTTACCCCATTTTGCCGCTACATGTAAAGGGCTTATATTATGCTGATAAAAAGAAGTTGGGAATATCAGTACGGATTTAGAACAATAAAATTATTCGTGATATTAATTTAATCGTACCTTTGCCAAATAATTCACGTCTGCTCCTCGTTTTATTAGTAAACGTGCTATCTCTTCGTTTCCATAATGGGCGGCGATATGCAAAGGTGTAAAGCCACTTTTTGATGTAACGTCCGGTTTGTGATCATTCTAAAACAGCAAAATGAGATATATATATATATATATATATATAAAATTTTTAATACTTTGACGCGATTATAACGCAATAATATAATGGAAATAAAACGTCATCGCGTTTCCAATAAAAAAATATCTCTCCAATAATGCGATACTTTCCATGGCGATGAGTTATTATCATTCTTACCTGTAATAATAGATCCGCAGCTTTACAATCATCCTTCTTCGCTGCAATATGAAGCGCTGGTAGTCGAACTTTTCCTTTAGAATCATTTTCTAAAAGAACGCTGACAACTTTATCATGTCCTTGTTGCATTGCTACAGCGAGAGGTGTAAATCCATCCTGAAAAATTATTTTTTTATCTTTCGCCACGTGAATTACACGGAACAAGATATTCGACGAATAAAATATCATTTAAAATGACAGGTACATACATACATATGTATGTATGTATGTATGTATATATGTATGCAGGCATACATATTATTAAGTACATATCAGTGGCGTAATGCAATCAGTTATAAATATTTACCTCTGTAGCAAGACTCTGATTAGCTCCGTTGCTCAGCAATAATTTAACGACTTGATCGTGATTTTCTTGAGCGGCCATGTACAGTGGTGTGAAACCATTTTGAGATTGAATATTAACTGCAGCACCGTATTGAATAAGAATATTTACTATTTCCTCTTGGCCGGCTAAAAACACGTTATAACTCTATCCATATGTTATAAAGTTATATTTACGGTACACAGTAATTAATAATTGAAAATTATATATTTACCCAACGATGCTATGTGCAGCGCAGTGTTCCCTTTTTTCGTAGCTGCGTCCACCTTAGCACCTCTTTTTAATAATTCTGTTACTATTTCAACATGGCCATCTTTCGATGCTAAATGCAAAGCATTTAAACCATTCTGAAAAACGACACGTGACGTGAAATTTTTCTACTTACCATTAGAATCGGACAAGTACAATCTAATACGGAATTTAATCAATTTAGCACGTTAGTACCATACAATATTAATACTAGTTGTAGTTTTTATTTGGCAATGCTACCAATTACAACAATTTACAAATTATCTTGATATCTCGATTACTTACCGAATTAGCTGTATTAATGTCTAAGTCGGTATCGAGGAATTCGATCACTTTTTCGAGGTTCCCGGACCGAGCAGCACGAAGAAATGCTGTCGTGTCATCAGCCTAAAATAAAAAAGGCACGTTGATACAAGGTATTAATAGACATTTAGTTTATTAATTGTATTAATTCTACTAACTGTATTGTAATTGTATACCTTGGCAAAAAAAAGACCTTGTTTTACATACTAAATGTCATAGAAAACATCATAGTTTAGATATTTTATATGTATGTCCATGTGTATGTATGTATATCTTTTATACTTCTTACACGTGCATTCTGTGCAATTTTATATTAAAATTTAAAATTTCGTTCGTACAAACGCATAAAAATCTATTAATCTATTATCTATTAATCGTAAATGTTCAATAATAATTAATAATCGTCGATTGTCGTTTCCTTACTTATTATTTTCTCGGGTACATACTTGTACATTAAAATCTTTTTCTTTTTTTTCATATTTCTGCATAAAATCACATGGAAACAAAAAAATTTAATGCTGATATTTGGGGAATATGCAAAGCACATTTTCGTAGATAAAAGTAAACGTAACGTTCACTTTTTGTCGAAATAAATTTTAACTTCAAAAATTATATTTCAGACAAAATGTAAGCGAAGTATTCGAAAGAAATTAGCAACAATTTAAAAACAAAATTTATGAAAATGATTACTAATCGTTAGCTAATTATTGGTCAATGCAGCAGAATTAATACTTATAGCACAAATAGATACTACTGTACGATATTAATGTATTTTGTTCCACTGCGTATTTTAAGAAACTTGATAAATACAACTTTCTTCCTAAAAAAGTTAGATATGTAAATTGACGATAAACAACGAATAATATATAATATATAAATAATTATATTTTCATATATTTTCAATGCAGAGATCTCTATTAAAGAAATGATATATACAACTGTTATATCGTGACTGTGATATGTGAAATCATTTATTTTTGTTCAGGATAAAATTAATTTGAAATCACGATGTAATGTCACGTATGAATTACGATGAATTTATTTGATTGGAAAATTTAATTTTCAAGCAACGCTTATAAATATGTTCGCGTAATATTTGTAATATATTGAGATTATTATTATAAACTTTTCACCTGTCTATTCATTTTGAAATTTACAACATAACATTATTTTTGATACAATTGCTCGATCAAAGCAATGCAATTGGTTACATTAGACGTTATGTTTTGACCATGACCTTTGTCCTATCAACAGTGCATTTTGATAACGATGTATTCTGCTTCATAAATTTCATCTGTTTAAAACGTTTGCAGTTAGTTACATACATTGCATTGCATTGCTCCAATTGATATCTTCAGAATGGTAACTGCACGGCAACAACCAGCTTATTTAACGTCTACCTTTATTGTATGTACATATTTTTACGTGCGTGCGTGCGTGCGTGCGTGCGTGCGTGCGTGTGTCCACATCTTGCTTACAGTCATCCCCTTCCACAACTTCTTTTCACTATATCAATGGTTATCAGACCGAATTTTAAATTCTTTCTTTTCCATAACATTTAGAGCCGGGGCAAAAAAAATTCGTGACATAAAAAAACATAGCGTTTTAAAATTCAATGCAAATACTTTTGTACCAACGAAAGGAATGAAATTATTTCAACAAACTAATCAAAGCTCACACCCTTCGATCAGTTGAAGGAGGAAAAAGTACCGGCGACATTCCGGCATCTCTTATTACGCAAAAATATATAAAATCATACCTGACTCGTACTATCTGTAACCATTGTGCTTTATATTAGACTAGGCACTATTCTCCTGATTCTTTCACTTGTCCAGCAACTGCCGGACACGAAAGTTCTTTTTCCTGGCACGCGTTAAATCACCATTCATGCACTCCTGGGGTAACGCTAAAGGTGAATAGGAATACAGGAGCCGCCCCGTATACGAAACTACGGCGCAGAATCGAACGGCAACGATTACGGGAAAAACAGGGGTTGCATCGTTGCCTTTCTCACCCCTTGTTGTGTCTGTCCTTGTTTCTCTGCCACCAGTTCATGCGGTGGTATCAGTCTCGTCATCATGTTCATGCGCACGCGCCTATCAAACCTGATCATACACCTACGCACACTCGTATACTTCCTTTCCCACCTCTTACTCACTTGCCCCTCTCCCCTCTCATCCCTCTCACTCTATCGTTCTCTCTCTCTCTCTCTCTCTCCCTCCCTCTCCCTCCACTCTCTCGCCCCCTACAGGTACAACAGCCTAGAAAAATTGGCCAGGTTTCTCAACGTGCGAATTGTTGGCCGGATAAATATTATCACTGATAACATGTTATACCTATGTACGTATATTGCGATACAATTTCATGGACCAACAAAAAATTGAACGGTATATAGCAAAATTTTCCGCAACTATTTCTATGTTCGATTACTTTCGAGTAAGTATACTTGAGTATACTATATTTGAGTAAATACTTTTATATGACACAAAATTGCAAATGCGATAATTTGATTAACCTACATCCCAAAAAACGAATAAAAGATTAAAGTGCGCAACATTTCGTATGCGATACCTACATACATACATATCTTGTCGACTACTATATATATATATAGGATATTGTAATAATAAAAACATAATAAAAAATTTAAAAGTCTACGCATGTGCAATAGTCTAACAAATTTGAAAAACAATTGATAAACAAGTTTATCCTTTCTTTAATAATTTTAAATAATTTGTTGTATTACAAATTAAATAAACTTGATGGGAAATTTATGATAACGTATAAAATAATTATGTACAATTTTTACAAGCAATATCGTACCAATGTTTGAAAACTTCAAATTTTCTTTGAGAAATACATTACTTGACCTTAATTATTAATTTATTATTAATTAATTATTAATTCTTGCATTTTATTAATAATTAATATGTATAATATATCAAGTCCGATAAGTATGAACATGCTAATACTTTTAAACGTAATTTTGATAGGTATTATGATATTATTTATGATAACTGATAATAATCTTATGTTCCTTTACATTAAATTACATAAAATTCTTTACAATCAACGACATTTTATTTGTGTACTGTGTACTTAATTTTGACATGTAACTTTACCATTATCTTGATGAAAATGAGAAATATGTATCGTAATCTCTTGTATATTTTGTGTATGTTGTAGAAAAACATAGATAAATAATAAATGAATATAATGAAAATTGAATTGTGACAGGTTAAAGAGAATTATAAAATACAGTGAATAAGTAGTCATTTATTAGTATTATTACACTTCGTAAAATAATACTATTACGTTCTAGAGAACAAAACAATATATAAGTACATACATATTACAAATAAGAAAAAGCTTTGAAGTCATGAATGCTGTGAATGTTAGAGTATAAGATGTCATATTTTAATTTGTATATGTTTCAAACTACCTTGCTATTTTTAAATCGTTTAAAAGATAAGAATTTACTTATTTTAATAAAAAATTCTAGACTATTTTTAACATTGCAAAACACGCTTTGATGCTACATGTTCTTAAATTTCAAAATCGTTCCATTTTCAAAATTCCATTTTCGTTCCTTTTCCAATAAGAGAATAAAAAATTGCACCTTTATATACGTTTTATTTTTACAAATGATCCAAAAATTACTGTAGTTAAATAAGTACGTAAATATGTAAAAATTAAATTTATCTTCTTACTTTCAGGTTCATTACAACCTATACCTCCTGTGTTTTGTTTCACGAACTGACAATATGTTAATTATATGAATTTTCTAAAAATAGTTTTCAGCTTCTTAAATACTGGATTTTCGCCAATATTACAACATAAATATTAACTTAAAGAGGATAACAGGCAGTCGATATCTTTTTAATATCGGTATTAGAACCGAAATTCTATTAAGAAATAGGGAAGTATGCCATTGAAAAGTATGCCGTAATTATTATTCATGAAGTGTTATTACTGTTATGTTTGCTTTGAAAAACCGGAAGTATATTTAATTCGCGGTGTGTGCACTGAAAAGAGGAAAGAAATTTTTAAAATGCGTTATATACATTGTGATATACTAAGCTTTAACACAAATATATTACACATTCTCCGACGTATGTTATTTTCACACATTTTTACCTGGAACCTAATGATCGGTGGAAATGCCTCCTCTGTCGTCATTTCCAAATAATAAACTGTGTATTTCGTTTGACAGACTTTACGTGTACGTATACTTCCTACGCTCCATACTGAAAACGTAGGTCACAAGATATTTATAGCATTGTGTTTTATTCTCATGAACACCTTTGTGGTGCATCTGCTTCAATGATTTACATATACATATTTTGTTTAAACTAATGAAACACACTTACTATCATTTAATCATTATTTTAATGTAGTAATATCACTTCCTAGCAACTAAAGTAGAGGATAATTGAATTAAAAGCTTTTGAATTTTGTCATCAATATTATAAGAAAATTATGCATAACAGATTTAATTCAACCAATTGTAATAATCCTTCGTATCATTATAACTATTAAATCAAATTAAGAAAAGAAAACTTATACCAAAACTTTACAATTTATATTTTGTAAATATGTATTTGTATATATGTATATATTGTTTTAGTTATAAACTTATGTATACATAAACAAAATTGCATATCGTATACTTAATTACATAAACATATACATATATTATACCTGAAATAAATGCGGTAGACATTACATAAACCTTTTAAAATATCAGCTTACATTGCAATTACCTTATTTTGTCTATGATAAATTTAGGATTTTATCTACATTTCACGTACTAGTGTCAACTAATTAAATTATAATCGATAAATAAGATTACTGATATAACTTTTTTTCCAATTAACTCGAATTTTTCTCTTCTTTCTATCTCTTTTATATTGATTTCTTCATATATCATTTTGAGTGGAGTATCACTCGAGTTTTAATTATTCAAATATTTTTCGTTTCTTCGTATATTTTCAACTCTTTCTTATTATTATTATTCAATTAATTTTATTAAATATTATTATAAACTGTAGATAGTTAACATACATTAGCATTTTAGAAAGTAATATCTTACAAATTACAGTAATTTGTATCATCTTTATTAAAACAACCTTTTTTAATTTTTTGTACAGTTTTAAATTTTCCACTATATATAAAACGTTTCTAAAATGATAATCTCCAATATGTTTATGTTTTTATCTTTCGTCAACATTACAACTAGTTTTATTTATAATAAAATATAGGGATAAATAAATTAGTAAACAATAATAACAAATAATATAAATAACTATTATAGTTATATCTAAATATTACACTGAACTAATAACGGAGAAGTTGTATATAATCCTAAAATGATACTGTGGGATTGCCAGCAATCCCATCTAGATTCAATCGTATATGTAGATTGTAGATATATACGCGACATTAAAATACCAAGCGTTTATATATCCTAATATGTCCCATAATTCATAAAAAGTAATAGAAAATTATAAGTTTTACATTTACAGTTTTTCGTATAGTCGCATCATTTTTATATTTAAGCCATGAATTTCTTTAACATATCTTAGTCACCTAAAGTATTTGGAATAAATAGTTTATTTTAGAGAAATTCGTATAATTCGAAATAATCTTTTTTATTTTAATATCCTTTCTGTAAATGAAAATAAAGTCACAATTATCTTTTATCTATATTTCAAACGTACACGAAAAAAAATTTTGCGAAAATGTTCAATAATATTTATAATTCGTATTGAATTGTCCACGATTCTACAACGCCATATATGTATATACATGTATATTTCTGTAGGCTCAAAAATAGAACAGTGTCTTTTATTCCAAATACATATATATATACATAATACATATACATATACATAATGTACAAATATACGATTATATATTGGACTTAATATTATATCAACTCACAGTTTAAATAAATATATTTAATAATAATAAAACATCTAGTAATTGCAATATTCAAATTGTTGTACAAACATAGGTGTCTATGGATCTATTTTGCTCTTTAAATCATTTTTTATTACAGTAACATTCTAATCTCATTTAAATTATATATAATATAATTATAAAATAATTACCCTAAATAACAGATAATTATATTATAACAAGATTCAATTCATGTTTTTCTCTTAAGATAATGTATCAAGTATAGTTTTTCATATTTAATTCCACCAGAAACTAATTGAAAAACTTGGAGTCAAGGAAGTTACATGATGCCACCACTTTGGAGGAATGTACAGTATTTCTCCAGGTTTCAAATAAACCATGAAACCTTTAGCTTTACTGAAATTAGGCCATTTCTCAAAATCTGGATTCAAAGGATCAACCTGTGCAGTATTATTGAGTAATTTCGTATCATATGGATACAAATTAGATGAATCATTTGGGTGGTATAAAATGACCCTTTTATATCCAAATACCTAAAATGCAGCAACAAAAACTAATAATATGATATAAATTTATGTACTAAATTATAATTTAATGTATCGAATTTAATTTTTTTAAAATAAAAGTTTCTCTCAAAAATGTAATTAATAATATTCAATAGTAAATCATAAAATTATGTTTATGACTTAATAAATCATAAAAATTTAAGATAAACTATATTATATTACTTTTTTATTTTAAATAATGCAATTTAGGTGTTATCATAAAATGAAAATTAATTTTCGTACTTGGCACAAAAAATTATTTTTAGGATCAAAATGCAGAGGTGAAACGGTTCCGCTAGGTCCAAACCAAGCATTTATATCTGGTTGTTCCACATTATTACTATCTGTGAAATTACAATATTCAGGAATTGCAAAATCGTCTTTCAATTCGGGTATCTGAAATTATTATAACATAATTAGCATCTAAATTTTCATTAGAAGCATTAAAAATGTAACAAATATTGTGAGATAAAATACAAAACTTGTTCAAATAATTGATGTTGAGCTAAATAACCAACTTGATCACATTCTGTTAATACATATTTTTGTAAAAATTCTGAAAAACTAAGAAGTTGTTGCGACCAATTTTCATCGGTGTAACGTGAACCAATTTCAATAGGTACTATTCGATTTCCAGCCACACTAAGTAAATATTTTAGATTTTTCCATCGCTTTAAAGCTTCCCAATGTTTGATACAATCTGGAATACATTAAATCTATTTCAAGATAGATTTCAAGCTGAATTTCAAGTTAAATTCAAGCAATTTTATAGAATTTTTGTAATAGCAAATAAAAATATTCCTTTCAATTTTATGTTTTATAATTTTTAATTTTAGCTTCTATTTATTAAATGTTCTTATGTTTTATTTATAATATAATGTGTGATATGCTAACATATTTGTAAAAGAGACACACATAGAAATAAATTTAAGAATTTAAAAGAACATACTTTTTTAAATATGCAAATTAATAAAGGAATGTTACCTTTCATTAGTGCTGGTACTTTCGGCATAAATATTTCCTTGTAAAATAATTCCATTGAAGGTATAACATACTGGACAATTTCACTAAATCCAGGTAATATAGAATTATATAAATTTTTAGAATCAGTAATTAATTCTTCTAAATCAAGCTCCAATGATTCTGCTAAAGAAAACAGTAAGTAATAATATAAAAATACAACAGAATCATAAATTTTATCTAAAAATTTTATTATAATTATAATTATAATAACTACCAATGCAATATTATTATTATTGAAACTTACTGACATAGATGTTCAATTCTGAAGCAAGTTTTGGTAATAAATCAGTTACATTTGGAAGTGGTGCTCCTAATAAAATACCTTTATCAATTTGCTGAATGATATTTTTCAATAAGATTGTATTCTTTGTAAATTGTTTACTGTTATTACTATACTGAAGCTCTAGCAGAACTATCTGAAGACACAAAATAGGTATCAAGATACAAACAATTACATAAATACATACATAAATATAATGAGAACGTATCATAAATTATGTTCAATAAAATGTATTTGTTCCACCTTTAAAACAGTACATATTGTGTAACAATATCGATATTCAACTGGTACAAATTGCCAGTGACCGGAATTTAATATTTCCCATGTTTTATCCAAACAAGCTTCAACTACTATTAAAGAATTCTTTATCCATTTTAGTGATGGAAACTTTCTACAAAACAAAATAAATGTTAAATCGTTTTTACTGTTTTTATGTAAAAAGTTTATTGAAATACATAGAAAATCATATTTTATGGCATGCGTAATTTTTAATTATCCCATAATCATAAGTAAATAAATATGTCATCAAAAACATGACAAGATTTTTGTTGAAAATTAGAAAGAGAATATGAATAAAATATAAAGATTATTCTTCCTGTTAATTAATACTATCAAAGACGTATCAAACAGGTTTAAATATATTCATATAATCATAATTACGTTGGAATAAAAAAAATTGTAGAATGAAATTCAATCAATTATTATAATTATTTTATACAATTATTATAAAGCTTTATTTACATTTTATCTTCAATGGATGTTTCCAAGTTATGTTTTATTGATGTCAAATGTATCTTCATTTCAATCGGGATATAATTTTGTACATTTTCACCTAATAGACTCCAAGGTATTGAGTTTGCAATAATTGTGCAATTAGACATTTTTCAAAAATATTGTAGGTACAATAACTAGAAAATAAATCATAAATATAAATTGAAATTATTTGTTTTATTCAAATATAAAATATTTTATCATTTTCATTATTAGGTTTTTGTAAATACGGCCATTGCATTATTTGATAATCAGCTATGTAGTACAAAATTTTTCCTGTTAACGATAGTGTTTTAACTCTGCAGAAGCTTTCAACAAATATTATAGTACTTTGCGTAATACAAAATACTTTGAATAAAAACACAATTATACATAAAGGAACGCAAGTGCCTGGACCATTACATAAAAGTAACTCTGGACATTCTCTCCATAAATGAGGAACTGATTCCAAGGTTGCATAAATAGTATTATAAATAGATGTGTAGTACGACTGATGAACTTCTCTACTTCTACGAATTTTGATTATTTTATAGTCTATATTATTCTTTTCTAAGTATTTTACTTTCTCAATGCTCATTGAATCTGTGTCAGCATACACATATATTCTTGGCGAGTAATTTTCAAAACTTAAATAATTAACGATTCTTATCATTTCTGCAGTATGTCCTCCAGACCCTAATACAATCATTGTTTTAAGTGGTTTATTACGTATTGATTTCCTTCCTTTTGTTTTATGTGTAAAAAACATTACAAAATATATTCTTCCAATGATTATCAGACAAATAATTATACAAATAGAAATATAAGATATTGTATACATTTTTATGGTATAACCTGCAACAATTTAAATTAAAATAATCAATCTATCGATTTGCTCAAGTGAAAACAGAATGAATTTTCTATTATTTTTTCTGTTATTTTTATATACATTTTTATTATTATATATGTGTTGGAAAATCATATGTACTTTAATCAATCAACGTATGCATTTATATTCACTTTTAACAGAGAATTATTAAAAATTACAAAAATATATCAAAAATTGAAAGAGTTGTGAAAATAATTGTTTCAAACTGCTATACATCGGTTCTGACTAAGACAGTTACAAGGAATCAAAATTTGGTTACGATTCGGTTCTGATTCTCTGATACAGCATTGCGCTGGCTCGGACTGCAAAGGAGAAGCTGAAACTCGGACATGAAAATGACACCGCCAGAATTGTACAAACAAAAATGTAAGACGATAAATTTTTAAGAGAAAGGAATCAGAATCAGAACCGAAATCTAACTGAAATACAAAATCGAAAAACAATAGTTATAAAACCGACATAACATCCGTTCTGATCGAGACCGTAACTGATACAAATCAAAACCAAAACTGCCTCTAACAGTTATAATTATAACATTGTTTCGTTTACTCATGGCCGTTTTAACCGATATCATAACTATTTTCAGTCTCAAACATTCAAACATATATATCATTCGTAGATTTATTAGGCGTGCTACATACATTACAATATATTAATATACACATATATATTAAGAATTAAGACTGTATAGTTCATTTTACATTCATTATATATATATATATATATATATATATATATTATACATTATATGTAATTCATAATATGATTAACATGAGTAATATAAAGTTCAACTACCTTTTATTCAGAATAACAAATTATCACTCAATTTGAAGTCTTAGAATTTTCATTGTACATTATACATATACATATATTTTAGAATAAAATATGTAAAAAATTTTTCTATAATTTTCATAAATAACTCTTTTACAATTTATAATTTAAAATTTACAACTTTTACAAATATTACACAAATAATTAGTCTCCTTAATGTTTAATTTAATGCAAATGTCATATAATCAAATACAGAACATGAAACTTAAGTTGAAAACAAACATACTACTCAGCAATTCTATATTATATCATCGAATAATATATGTAAGATCCATCGTCTGATTTTAAGTGTCCGCATCTTTGCTGCCATCTAACAATATAATTTTTCAATACAAATTTATGAATAGTTTAGAATTTAAAATTTAATAAATAAATATAAAATTTTGTATTCAAATGGGCACGTGTTGTAATGTATAGTAAAAACATAATGGACTATTTTAAAATTTGAAAAAGAATTGAAAATTTGAAAAAGAATTGAAAATTTGAAATTCATTTCACATTAGATTTATTCCATTTTTAGTCTTTAAATATGACATACAATTAGGTGTTAAGTCTATTCTATAATTTGTTTATGGTAGTACATAGTATGTGTTTCTTACTGAAGTACCGGAGGAAGGTGGAATTTGTTACTGAATGAAAAAAATAAAAAAATAGAGTAAGTTTATTTTATTGAAAATCAAACTTTCTGTTAATATAGCAACAACAACAATGTAATGCATTTTTTGCAATAGAAAGCATTTGATATAATTAGAAGCATAATGAAACTATTTGTCAATGAGAAAGTATTAAAATCGTAAAAGTTTCTACGATATTTTTACCGTAGGATTAATATTTCATATTATTCTTGTTATATTTAATAAAACAAAAAAAATTTTTTTGTAGATACATGACCTTGAAGATTTTATTGTTAATGAGTATATGCAAAGATAAAATAAATTCAAACAATTTTGCATTATATAGCAAAACAAAAGTTATTTATAATCGTAAACGGTTCTCTTATAAAAACAAGTATGACAAGAAAAAAGCGAATAGCTATTTCTAGAATTTATAAAGAGAACTGGTATTGTAATTCTATACTAGGTAATTGTGCAAATGAAAATTGGAATACATCAGTGAATTCAATAGGAAAATTGAACAGATCTACATTAAAAAGAAGGAACTGTGGAGAACTACAAGAAGATTTAAATGTTCCTTCGAAAAGAATTCTAAGATCTACACATATTGTAGGTCAAGTTTTAAACAATTATGAGAGAAATACATCTGTTTCACTATTGGGAATCCATAAGAATAATAAGAAATTAAATATGATTAAAACCTCAAACGCAAATATCAACAATAAAGCAGTATTAAAATATGATGTGCAAAGTAGAATATTCAAATCTAATGGACATTGTAATTTATGTGATAACAATGAAATTAATTATAAGCAAAATACAAAATTTGAACAGGAAAATTTATTTACGTACAAAACAAACTTATCGCAACAAAAATCTTTAAAAGCAAAATCACATAAAAATATAAATCAATCCAATGCCATTAATATTCAAAATTTAACAATTGACTCTAACTGTGAAAGAGATTACACTATCTCGATACAAACCAGAAGGAAAAGTAGCTGTAAAGTTAATAAATCTATTACAACTGAAGAATCAAACAAATTTCATTTGCAAATAAAGGGAAAGGAACAAAAAAATATGGATCCTACAGTACATAAATATAAAAAATGTAATAAAAAAACCAAAAAAAAAATATATTCTAAGAGGATGATGAAAAAAGTAAATACGAATAACTCTCCCATAGTTACCACAGTACAAGCAAGTAAAATTGATACCAAAACAAATAAAAATATAGCAACGGATAGAAATTGTACAGATAATAAAAGATTGATAATTCCTTTAATGAAAATAGACGAGCTTCCTTCATCTGAATTATTTAAATTAATTCAGCAACCTAAATCTGCACAAATCACACAGAATATACAAGAAAATAGAAACGTATATTTTGAAACAGAAAATATTACAGAAACACAATGTTCCACGTACAAGCAGTACAGAACTACTAATCTTAAACAAGATGAGGAAATAAATGTTTTGTATAAGTCAGTATTTGAGAGAAGATATACAGAATTTAAAGAGAATGGAAAGGAAGAAATTGACGCAAATGTTAAACTTGAAAGAAATACATACAAAATGTCTTTGGAGAATAAAGTTAATACTACAGAAATATTACAAGGTAATGAATGTAAATTAGGATCCACAAATTTATCAGAAAATATTTTACAATTATTTTTAAAGAACAAAAGAAATGTAACAAGTATAAAAACAAGACAGAAATCAAAAATTGAAACTTGTTTGAAAAAAAGTGTAGCAATATGCAGTAAGTGTGCAGAAATCTGTAATCTTTTACGACAATTTTCAGGGAAGACAAACTTTATACAAAATGAAAAATTGTGCATTGAATGTACACTATGTAACATACAAATTAATTCTCTATTTCATTTTCAACAACATGTAATGGATATACATTTACAATGTGAAGGAAAATCATTAGCTAGGAACAAAAAATTTCCAGTTGTTATTATTAACTTTAGCGAGCAAGTAGATGTAGATAGGAGTAGCCAATTCATTTTTGAATGTTGTTGTTGTTCAAGAATATTTAGTCGTACAACAGATTTTGAAGAACATATTAGAAACATGCATTATACAAGTGACATTAAAAAATATAAATCGAAACAAATAGCTAAATCTTCTGAATTATGTACAACATTTCAAAATGAACAAGTACTCGATGAAGCTTTAAACAAACATCACGTTGTTGATACTTCAACTAACGCAGATGGAATTTCTAGTCAAATAACGAAAGAAAATTCAGAAATTATAGAAAATATAAGAAAATTAAATATTGATGAAAAATATGCAAATAGTATTTCGGAAATTACAGTTACTTCGAAATCAGAACTTTCTAATATGCCCAATATTAAAATTAATCAAAGATTTAAAGCATATCAGAGACATAAAAGATATTCTTTTATTTGTAATATTTGTTTTAAAAAATATAAAAGAAAACATATGTTTTTGTCTCACATATCTAAACATGTAAAGAATTCTGATACTAACGTATGTGAACAACAAAAGACACAAGAAACTAATAATCTAATTACATTTGACAACAATCTAATATTAAATTCAAAAATTACAACTTCTCATAAAGAATGCATTAATACTTTCAAAGATGATAATACATCAAATTCTAGTGTAAATTTGAAAGAATTAAGCCAAAATACTTTAATATCAAAAATAATTGACAAGAAAGTTAACAGCTTTGAAAATACAAATATGGAATGTGTTACCAAAGAAGATAGTATATCAAATAAAGTAGATGATTATAGTTATTTATTACATATAAACCTTACGCAAAAGACTGAAGAAGGTATGAAAAGACAGAAATTAATTAAATTCAATATAAACGTTGCAAAGAAATATAAGACAAGTACCAATGAGCAGCAAAATATAGAAAATAAAATTGAAAATAAGTGTCCAAAAAGTTTTAGTACAAACAGTAGTTTTGCAATGGATATAAATAAAAAGAATGTAAATGATTTGAAAAAACTACAGTGCAATAAATGTGATAAAAAATTTAGTTCTTTAACAATATTAAAGGAACATATGTTCATTTTACACGATTCTCTGTTTGAAGATCCAGAATTATCAAATTTACCAACGATATCATATTTTAATGATAATCATAAAATACAAAATCTATCTACACAAGATATTTATACGTCTAAAGAGAAACACGATTTATTACATAAAATGCAGACACCTAGGAAAGTTTTACAAAACGATGATAAACATGGTAAAGAAGCAGTTTACCAAACTTTTAATACAGATAAAAAAAATAGAAAATGGCGTTGTAGTCCGTGTAAAGAAAATTTTGCATTACTTAGGAATTATTTACGACATAAATATTACTGTCATAATGACGAATCTGTAGTTCATATTTGCGATAATTGTAACAAAATTCTTACTTCAGTTGCAATGGTGAATATTCATATGTGTACAAACGTTATTTCTTGGATTTGTAAAAGATGTAATTTTAATTTTTCCAATGGTGTATCTTTAAGAAAACACAATATGAATTGTCATTTAGAGAAAGTAGGTCCACATTTATGCAAAATATGTAAATTAAGTTTTCTTACAGCATATATGTTAACAAAACACGAAGCAACACATTCCAAGTAATAAATCCAATAATATAATATAGGCAATTTCATAGATTTACCTGTATCTGCAAAGAACTATTCTATCTAATACTATAAATAATACGAATGTTAATACAGAGATCAATAAAAAAACAATCAAACGACAAGACTGTTACTCGTACGAATGAAAATATAGATATTTTATAATTAGGTAATTTGAATGTGAAATTTTCAGAAATCTATATTATATCTATACTGTATAATATTGAAAAAATATTTGAATGTAATTAGTACGATTTATTATGTATTACGGAGGTGCAAATGGAACTTTATTTGAAAAAGTGGCATAAGATAGAGATATGTAATAGCTCATAATTTATATTTATAGTGATATATATGATAGCTCATATTTTGCAAATGAATTAATAAGACAATGTTTCATCATATAGTTTCAAATAATTTATATTTCAAAGAGAACAATAGTAAGTAAATTCAAACAATGTATGAAAATATATCAGAATCATGTAATAAAAATTCATGGCAAGAAACCTTACGAATATCAAAGATTTTATAATATTCTAGAAAATAAATGTTTATAAATGATTATATAATATGTTCAAAGAAATTTTTTTTCAAACAATACATTCCATATTATAGAATTAATTATTTGAAATATCACAGTGAAATATGTTTATTGTGTAATATAAAATTTACAAAATTTTCGAAATATTCAAAAATCTGTTAATTTATATTTGTGGATAGCATAAATGTTATACTTATGTAACCTACGAGTAAATGTATCGTTTTATATATTGTACTTTTCATTAAAATTTTCTTATTGGTATATTTATTGTTTATATTTATTATTGGTATAATTATTATTTTATTTAACTGTTTATTTGAACGTGCATACATAAAATACTGAAATAAAAAAAACGATAGAAAAACTTTTTGTAAGAGTAAATGTACTTTATAATATAAAATAAAAAACTCTAAAAATTTAATTACTATAAATTTGTATACAATTTTTTAGATTTGAATCTTTTCTTATTAATTCAATCTTATATTTGAATATAATACAATGGTATACATTATTTTGATAACTATTTGAATTGGTTCAAATATTAATGATAAAATTTTTAATCCGGAATTCAATTTGTAAACACAGGATAATTGAATTACATACAAAATAGAATATATTCAACATCAAAATTTTTTTCCTAATACATTCTTCGAAAAATAAATGCTTTTATTGTAATTTAAACTTTTTAACTTGATTTAAATAACAAGTACTATGGAAACTGAAAATTTTTGAAATGAATAAATTAGCCAGATATTAGAGCAAAAATCACAGATTTATGATAAAAATAATTTTTTTCCTTACGAATTAAGAAAAAATAATGAATTTGTAGTCGTCATTGAAACTTATATTATAAATATATATATAAATATAAGTTTTTAAATCACTAATCAATTATCAATCCAACAATTATTTACAATGTTAAATTCAAATTATGATTTCGGGAAAAAACGATTGTATGTGTACAACTATCTTCATATCTATATGTATATGCATATATATGTTTATCTGAATTTTGCAAGATCTCTTGTTAAATATGATTAAAATCATCAATCAGTGAACAGATTTTGAAATATTTATTAATATTTATTTCTCGATATTTAAAATTTTCAATTTTCTTAAGGTAAATAAATGCTTGATCTCTTATTTTTTTATTTAATTTAATTTCAAATATAATGTAAGTGAAAGAAATATAAATAAAGTGAAGGAACTAAATGAAACGAATCTTACTTAAAATAATTAATCTTAATTTATAAAATAAAATACGTTCTGACTTCGAGAAAAATTATCTAATGAATTATCGATCAGTTTTAATTTGCCAATTAAACATGCATCTTATCCCAATTAAGCATGATCATATTATTATCATTATTACATACATATGTTCTATGTATATAGTCAACTAATTGTTTAATAAATTTAGAATATTATAAAAGTATGTACAAAATTCTAAAGCACGCATGTCAAAATTCGCGCTAGATATACTACTGCAGCGCTTACTTTATTACCTCGCTGTTTTATATTTATACAATTGACTTTCAAATCAGTTTAGTTAATGTTTCGCGTCAATGTACAACTTTGGGCGTTTTGAAATTGTGTAGATAAAAATATTGAATTAGGGACAGTGACAACAACTCTTTTTTAGTTTGATAAAACAGTTTGTATTTTAATGATTGAGATATACAATTGAATTTTCACACAATTTCATCGTATTTAATTAGTAAAATCTCTTTAATTCACTGCAACTGTATACAGTTGTTGGTGAATTAAAATTTATTAATTAGTATTTTATTGAGTGTTATTATGCAAGGCAAATCAGTGTAAAACGTACGATGCATTTGTTTAGCAAAATATGTACATAATGGGTGATTGACACATGTACAGTATTACATTAATATTCGTAAGTGAGATATAAATAACACATATGTTTATTATAAATGTATATTTTAATTTATTTCTTTTCTTGAGAATATAATGTATTGTACATTATGCAGAATATTGTAATATATATATATATATATATATTAGTTTAATTTTTGTGCACTGTATTTCATATATGTATTCCTTTTTACAGTTATGCAATTTTAAAGAATATTAAAATATTATAATTAATAAAGAAAAGATGAACAATTGGGACAATTACTTTTATTACGAAATAAGTTACATTCCATGATATAAAACTGGAAGTAAGAGGTAATGCAAAAGAAAGAGTTATGATCAAATATGACAGGTTGTTCAGAGATGGATACGAACAAACAGACAGAAGACTCTAATAACATTTCAAATAACGTTGGAAAATCTGAAAGTTCAGATTCAATAGAGGTGGTTACGAAGTGACATAAATTTATATTTAAACGAAACAAAGATGTACATGGATTTATTCGAAGAACATAAAGCTATAAATTTATTATACTTTTTATTTAGGTGGATAATTCACGTACAGTTCTCTTAAAAATAGCAACATTGTATGCAGAACGTCTTATGAATGATATTTGTCTTGTTGTTAATGGTATAGAGTACCCAGCACATCGCCTTATACTTTGTGCTTCTAGTGATGTTTTTCAAGTAAGTAAGTTAGTAAGTAAGTATTTTGTAAATTGCTACATAAAATAAGATAAAATGAAAAACACGATTGTTTATTCTTATACAGGATGTCACTAAACTGGTGATTTAACCTAAAAGGATATGATTTTAAATTAATGCAAAATAGCAGTTTTTGATATTTAACTATTAGTCTTAAGCAAATTGATAATTTTAACTCAATATATTGAGAAAAATACAATATATTGGATATGATTATATTGGTAGACAAACTAAAACTATATTTTTAACAATTTTTACATAAATAAAAAATATTTTTTGAGTGAAAAATACTATTGTTTCATTGCTCATCCTTTGTTATAAACACAAAATGTTATAAGTAATTGTAATTACAATTTATATCTATTTAATTTATTGTCGGATATACATATGATATTATACATACATATTCAATAAATCTTGAGCATTTTATTTGAAAGTGAAGATTTGTACGACAAAATGTTATAATTTTTTATCTTTGTTTTTTGTGTAAATTGTTTTCTTTTAAATGACAACGCTAGATTAGTGATATCTCTTGTATTCATATAACGTGGCTATTTATATATATTAAATTGTAAGATTTGTTAAAATTGTTACATGTATAATTATAGAATTTAATTTCTTTACAAAAAATATATATTTTTGCCAATGTAGGTAATGTTAATGAGTCCTCAGTGGAGCGAGTCTCAAGAAAGTAGAGTAACCCTTCAAGAAACGCCACAATGTGTACCTATATTTAGTGAGTTTTTGCGATACTTTTATACCGGTCAAATAAGAATTAATTATGGTGTTGTTTTACCGATATTATCTCTAGCTGATAAGTATAACGTCGAGGATTTAATATCACTGTGCCTTGATTACATGCAGAATCATATTGCGTTAGCTGCCATACATGGCACTTTAGTATCATGGTTACAATATACGTCAAATTGTGGCCATCACAATATTACCCAAGCATGTCAGAACTTTATTAAGTGGAATTTGGAATTGGTGGCTAAGACTGCAGACTTTGGAAATTTTGATTTGGATATATTAGTGTCATTGTTACATCAAAGTAGTTTAGTAATAAAGGATGAAATGACATTATACAAATGTTTAGAATCTTGGTTGGATCATCAGACAAATCGGTTGAAATCTCAACTATCGCACGACGAATTAGAAGCTACGTTAGAACAATTGGTAATAGCTGTGATGTCTCCTGTTAGATTTCCAATGATGTCTCCTCGACAATTAGCAGAATTACTTTTGTTTCCTTTAACAAAGAAATATAAAGAATTCTTTGTAGAACGTATGTCTATAGGAATGTCATTTCATTCTGGTCAGTTAGATAGAGTTAAAGAAGTGAGTTTAAACGAAGAGGATGGTGCATTACTTTTTGAACCAAGATTGTACACTGTAGATACTTGTAGTTCATTACTTACAATAGAAAATTTTCACGGTTTACCCTCTTATCATACGAGAACGCTTGTATTTTCAAGCCATTCGTGTTTAGCAGAGTATGCTGGTGACCGTGCGTGCGAATGGATTGTAGATATATATCCAAAAGGGGTTTGGTTTAAAAAGTTTTTCTTAATAGTCTGGCAAGGAACCGTTGAAATGCCTGAACATGTAAAACGTTCGGTTCGATTGTCACTCACGTGTAAAGAACCACCTGTAAATAGCAATGCTGATATGCGAGTAAAAATAGGTGTTTTAATATATGGTCTACAGGATGGCGTTGAACATATTGCCAGAGTAACAGAAATCATTCACAGGTTTAGTAAAAAAGAGCGTGTTCTTAATTTAGACGATATTCTGCCGTTCGAGGAACTTAATCCGCAGCAAGGTTCCGTCTCGGAAAATACATCTCCCTTCCTTGTAGGTCCAAATAAAGATATGCTCAAATTACATATTGTTATATCACCAGCTAATTAGGACAAATAGATTTCTTAAGTTATAATAAATCTCATACAGACTTTAAATACATTGAACTCGTATGTCTTTGTTAAATATTCAATGTATATTTTAGAATCTTAATCGACATTTTAATATTAGACTAAGGGGAAGTTTTGTATTTAAAAATCATATGTAATAAAATATTAAAAAATTCTAATGCCTCATCTACTTTCATTACATTAATCTTTTTGACGGATGTAATTAACTATTATTAATTATTGAGAATTATTTAAAATAATTTAACTTTTGAGACAACTATACATAATTAATTCTATACATAATTAATTATACAGAAAAACAGCAAGTTCATAGTTATATTATTGTTAAAGGAAACTAAGGTTTTATAAAAATAATAACTGTCATTTATATAAATTTATTATTTCATTATGATCCTCTTAAAATCTAAAGAAAATATTCTTTATAATGCACAAAATTTACGATCGATAATGCAAGCATTTAAACAGTTTCAATAATCGGTAGTTAAGATACATAATTAAAAAGTATCGAATGTTGCGATTAAGTTTTTGTTTAAGAATTTTAAGATTAAATAATTTCCATAGTTTTGTTTAACAAATCTGGAATTAAATAGACTCGCTCACTTATGATAAGAATAAGACCTATTTTTTAATACTCTACGCCGTAAAGAAAATATCTTAATTTACAAGAAATTAAACATTGTTTAAGCGAAAATCTTCGATCCACATATATTTAATGTATATATATGTATTATATTATATATTAAATACATAGATTGACAGGTTAAAGCATTTTTAAATTGATCATACTTGAGCAAATTTTTATTAAAAAGATGCAGAAAATGATAACATTTTCGTTATACTGTAGCAGAAAATGCAAGCGTAATTTTTAGTTCAATAACGTAGTAATAAAAATTATTAAATAATAGTAGAATTCATCTTATTCGAGAGATTGCTGATGTTAAATCGTGAAATATTTGAAACGCAATGTAAATAAAATACGCATATATGTAATACATTGTATACACATGTATACAAATACATTTATTTGGAAATGTAATAAGAATAAAATTCGTTGTGTTCCTTTTGTTAAGTTTACCATTAACTCAGTCTCTAATTTTATACACAATCGACAAGTTCGATTAAGCGATAGATCTATGCTGTATCTTGTCTTTGATAGTAAATATTTTTAAATTTGTCTTCAATTGTTTTAATTTGGTAAAATTATTTTAATTTAATTTCATTTCATATGACTTTTATAGTTTTACTAAGCTACTTTTACTAAGCATATACAATGTATGCATTTTTCTTTTGTCGGGTATCGCAACAAATCAAAAATAAGTAGAGTGCGTCATCTGTCTGTCATTGACTGTACGAACTATTTACACATTCAACAGACTCATTCATAAAGTTGTTCGAATTGTTCCGAACGTATACGTTCTTTGTCGTCGAAATCTTACACTGTTACATGAAGTATTAAAAAAATATATTATATTTTTACTATAAAAAGATATTTTTATTATCTTCTAACTAAATATTACTATTTTTTAATATTTTATTAAAATTGATAACAATATTCTGTTTTGAATATCAAAGTAAGGTTAGTTGTTAGTTCTTATAAAATATTATGTATTGAACGTTTATGTTTGTACAAAGTAAAAGTTGCAGACAGTAAATTTATTGTAAATGATAATTGTATAAAAAAAAAAAAAAATTAGAAAGAAAAATATAGCAAATTAATTTTTTATATCTATAATACATTTTAAGTAACTGTAATTTCAGTTTTTTTTTAATAGAGATATTACATTTCTTTTCACATTACATAATTATATTTAATATATTACATGCGATGTATTAATAGATTATGTTGTATTACATTTAATATGTTATATTTATGTTCAATATAGAAATTTATGTGTAATTACTGAATTACCTTAACAGTTATTTTGATATAATTTGATATAAAAACAAGTTCTTCTATTTGAAAAAAAGAGTGTTTCTTTTATTTTTATACATAATTGCTTTTTACAAGAGCAATTGTATTAGGAATATTAATCTCATAATTTAAAAAGTGCATATTAGTCATCTTATAATAAAATAGATGACATTAAATGTTGTAATATAATAAATACTGTTTTTAGAAATAATGGAGTCAGATTACGACGAAGATCGTGGAGCTTGGACGGAAGAAATGACAAGAAGCGAAGATTGCATTGGTGAAGATAATTTTGATAATCCTCAGGAGATATTAAATGAATGCTTAGATAAATTTAAAACACCAGATTACATCATGGAGCCTGGTATATTTGCACAACTTAAAAGGTATAATTTATTGAATAGTACATACTAAATATATCAATGTATTTGTGCAGTTACTGTAAAATTTAAAACATACTCCTTAAAGAATCCTACATTTTTACACTTTGGCAATTAAAATATTTATGTATTTCAAGAATATTATTTCCACGTATCAAATATAAAGTGACAGTTTCGTTTTTGTACTTTCTTAAAATTTTTAGTCTTTCATTTCTGTAATTTATATCATTTAGTAGTTTTCCGATATGACTAAAAAAAATATAATGCTATGAAAGTAAATTGTGGACTCTGATAAAAGTACGCTTCATTAGAAAATAAGAGTATGTGTTTTTTGTAGTAGTATACATATAGTTTTAGAACTTTTAACTGTTTATGAAATTCAAGAGAGAAATGCAACGATATTTGTGTTGTAATATGTCATTATTTTTTTAACTTCGTAGATATTTTCAAGCTGGTGGAAATCCAGAACAAGTGATAGAATTGTTATCTAAAAATTATACAGCTTGCGCTCAAATGGCAAATCTTCTTGCAGAGTGGCTTATTCTTGCTGGAGTTAAAGTTACAGACGTACAAGCAATGGTAGAAAATAACTTAAAAGATATGATATTGAAAACATTTGATCCTAAAAAAGCAGATAAAATTTTTACAGAGGAAGGTGAAGTAAGTGTCTCAATCATTTATTGATTTTATTAAATCTTAATTAAAAATTAAAACATTAAAAATTCAATATTACATGTATTAGACTCCTGCTTGGTTAACGGAAATGATACAACATCCTACTTGGAGGTCGCTTATTTACAGACTTGCAGAAGAATATCCTGATTGCTTGATGTTAAACTTTACTATAAAGGTAAAAATAGATCTCAGTCGAATAGTGCAGATTCTCTTTAATGCCTTTTCCAATATTTTTTTTTTTTTCTTATTAAATTGTTTTTGTATTAAACTTATTAGGAACTGGTCGATCATGTTATCAAGTCGAATTTTTATATCCTTTTTAAACTTTTTACAGCTTATATCTGATGCTGGATTCCAAGGTGAAATTACAAGCATTTCAACGGCTGCACAACAAATTGAAGTATTTTCACGAGTTTTAAAAACTGCAATTGCTGGATTTTTGCAAAATACAGAAGATTGGCAATCAAGTATACAAGAATGTGCGGTTAGTACTATTATTATTTATGATTTATATTGAGAATTAATTTTATAAATATGTATATTATATTTTATACACATACAAACTAATAATGTTTGCAAAAACTATTCAGAGTAGAAAACAATGTCTTGTATGAGAAATTTTAGTATTTGTATATAATCTTTTTGTTGTCAGAAAATGGTATGTCACGGACAACACACTTATGTCTACAGTCAAGTGTTGTTACAAATTCTTGCACAAGAATCACGTGGAGGATTCATGATGAAAAGGCTTTCGCAGGAAATTACTAAATGTGCTCAGCAAAAGTAAGAGAGAATGTTTGATTGTTCGCAACTTACGATCAATAAAAAAATTTTATAATTCAAACATGTATATATGTGTTTATAGCCATCACGATGTTACTCCAATAACAATGGCACTTAATGGAGCTTCAAGTAGTCCTAGTGCATGTCAAGCACTTGCATCCATGTTGTCACGAAATACTTTAAATCCTGCTGATATTACTGTATTATTTCGAAATTATTCCACTGCGGAACCACCACCTATAGAGTTGCTTCGTAATCCACAATTCTTAGGTATTAATATAATTAATTTATAAACTTGCAATTGATCGTAATATATGTAAAATTATAATTTATGAATTTTAGAACTACTGGTTGATGCACTTTTCAAACCAGGCGTAAAAATCAATCCTGAGCATAAATCTAAATACATACATTTATTAGCCTACGCAGCTAGTGTATGTGATATTCCAGCCAAGAAGGGACATTCGCGGAAATTAAATAAGGATGAATTAAAAACAACTATTCAAGCCATAGAAAAAGTTCATAATATTTGTAACATTAATAAAGGCTCGACTGAGTTAATAGCAGAATTGCAAACTTTATATCAGTCTATAAGGTATAATTCATACAAATTATATTATAACAATCACAACAAATATTTCTACTTGTGATAAAACGTACATATAAAATAATACTTGACTGTATTTTAGATTCCCTGTTGTAAGTGTAGGTATAATTAGATGGGTAGAATGTACTGTAACCGAACCATCATATTTTAAATTATGTACAGAACATTGTCCTGTACATCTTGCATTGCTCGATGAAGTTGTAGTTTGCCATTCTTTATTGCATCCAAAAGTATTACAACTTCTTGTACAGTTATTTGAAAGTAAACAAGATGAACTGGAAATACTTGTGCAGGTACGAATATATCAAATTTAACAATGGAAAATACATGTTTAATAAATTAATATCATTACGTCTAATTTTAACCTATTATGCAAATATTTTTGAAAGTACGTTAGATAGAAGAAAGAAAATGTTTTTAACAATTATAGAAAATCGAGTAGAATATCGTAAGACATACGTTAAGTATTAAACGTTAGGCGATATTGTTTAAATAGCATTACATAATTTTTAATATATTAATTAATAACAGCTTGTTTTGTATTATTTAATACAAAAAAATTATTAACTTATGTCAAAAAATGTGCAATTTAATATATTTTAGTTTCATTATTATGAAAAGATGTTAATTAAATGACAATGCAATTAAGCAAAAAAATTTCAACAAATAAATATATATATCACTCTTCTATCACGTACTTATGTAATGTAGTTAAAAAAAACAATTGTAAAACATGTTAGCAGTAATTGGATTTATATTTGATATTTCTGTAAATGAAAATTTATAAAATTTGACATTTTTTTTAATTTACAGTTAGAAATGAAAAAGATGTTAATTGATAGAATGGTAAACTTATTAAGTAGAGGTTGCGTTGTACCAGTAGTGTGTTATATCAAACAATGCTGGCAACGTGGAGATACAGACGTATCTTTAATTAGATATTTTGTGACAGAGGTATTATATTATAAAACAACATTTTTTGAAACAAATATGTACATACACAATATGTTGGATAATATTAAAATGTGCTTATATTAGGTTTTAGAAGCAATAGCTCCACCATACACAGCTGAATTTATTCATTTGTTTCTCCCTATGGTTGAAGATGAAGAAATTACAGGTACAATGCGCGGAGATAGCGAAAATGACCTTGTTTCAGAATTTATAGGTAAGTTTACAAAGTATCTTACGCATAGATTACAGTATTTAATGTTTAACCTGTATATTTTTTTTAGTACATTGTAAAGCACATTGTCCTACTATAAGATGATTTTTTAAGAAGAAAATGGATTAAATTAAAGAAAAATCGGTGATATTGTAAGATATTTTATTTCACATAAGAATATTGAATTACTACATATAAATATTCTCTACTATTTTATTAGATCCCTTCCTTCTTTCATATAAATATGTAAGAAGATGCATATATGTATGTGTGTGTGTGTGTGTCTGTGTGTGTATTCGAAGAGTCAGACGATTTCTCCATCAATCTGTGATATTATAATTTATGGATTTTCTGCAACAAAAATAATGAAATGTAATTTTTGTAAGTTACCAAATTTTTGTAATAAATAAACGTAAAAATAAATAAGTTCAATATCCGTATAATTTCTTAAAATGTTAAACATCTCACAATAAAATTATAACATTTATAATGTTAAAAGCTGCTTTTGTCAAGTTTGTCAATGCATAAAGCAAATCATCATTTTATTAGACTCTAACTATTCAATGATTCATATCGCTATTAATATTCAATCATTTATGATACGCAGAGTATCTCTAATATATTGATAGTACAATCCCGAAAGATATTATATATATTATCTTATTAGGATAAGATACTTTAAAGATTACAAATGTAAGTCGATGTCAACGAAATGATGCTAATATATTAAAACAGAGATATATATAAATATATGTATATTATGTACTTCATTAGAAGTAAATTCTTACACTGCTACGTAAGAATTTTGTATGATTTTGCAAAATTTTGTATAAGAAATGATTATTATATATTTTGTTCCTATTTTATCATATGATCTCAGGTCAATTTTTGAATTCACACCGTTAGTTTGACTACAACTTGTATGTACATAAATTTCACACTCCATATGGGTTAATAATACATTATTTAATATATATTTTATACTAAAACATTTGTGTTAAGATACGTAATAATCATGCATTCTTATATAAATATTTCACGCTATGTAAAATCTAAATTTAAGACTTACACATGATTGTAACTTTACAAATGTTTATTTGTTTATTATTATTACTTTTCAGCTGTAATCAAAATTATTATTATAATAATTGTATAAAAATAAAACAACATTTAACATGTACATTGTATCGTTAACATCTGTTGATAAACTATCTTATTCAATTATTATTTAAGAAACTAAAGAGAAACGTGATTAAATGATTAAATCATCTATGCCAAATGTAGATATCGTATATGTACTTTATATAACAATTTTGTACATTATGATATACTTATATATCATATCCCAGTGTACATGAAATATACATTCACATTATTAAAAAATATAATTTTAAGTAATGCGAATGTAAAATATAACGATGTAATATATAAAATATGTAAAATAAAATAAATTGAAAATTATAATTATAGTACCACCAAATAAAATAAAATAAAAACAATGTACTTACTAGCAGGTTTACCATCTTTCCATTGAGTAAACTTTACGTTTACTTCATCACGTTTTAAGGCTTCTGATCGAAGATCCGCTTTTAAAGCTTGTCTAACAACTCTGGCAGCTATTTGCGAATAATTAATGTAACTGAAACGCGAACATAGATTATATAATACACTTTAATAATATTTATCATATGTATGTAACAAACATCTTTAAAATGAGTAATTTACTTTAATCCTGCTTGTCTCCACGCAGACATTTCTGCTGACAATTTTATCTAAAATAGTACTTTTAATTTAACTGTAATACGACAAATCGAAATGGATCGAGTAGTCTATAGCTTAACGGAATGTCTTACATCTAACGTGTATATATCAGCATAAACATAGATACTATAACTATAAGACAGGCACTATTACGAAGTAATTCACTTAAAATCTCTAAGTTTTAATTTTATTTCTAAAAATAGGAAAGCCACAAGCAAAGCATGTACGAACATTTTAATTTATTTAAAAATTATATTTCGTTGAAAAAATATATATTTCATTTGAATAATCATAAATACACACAACTCGACATGGAAATTTAAAAATACAACTAGGGATATTCTCTATATATTTTTTAAACAATCGATTTAAATTTACTATATAATTGCATATGTAGACGATACAGTATATTTTAAATAAGTAATTATTAAAAATTGTACGATTATCATTTTATGTGAATGCATATATGCATGTATACATATATATATATATATACACAGCAGGCGCATACACAGGTATATGTACATGTTTAGTTTCAAAAAAGAACTTTTAGAACTAGGGAAATTTCATGTAAACTAATACATGATTAAATTTCGTACGCAGCGTAAATACATGAATGGAACATCCCGCAGCAGCTGGTCACTGACTTCTAGGAAGTTTCTAGCAAGATGTCGGGGGGTGTTTTGCGTGACAAGCCGCTAGTATGTTTTTGGACGATATGACTTGCTCATTGCAGTGTATGTATACAAAATTCCGGCCTATATTAAATCCCAGAGTATTCTAATACCGTTGAAGTAAACATTCAAATTTTACTGCTAGCACAATATTGAAAGACAAGAAAACTAGGACTATTTGCAAAAATTGTGTCAGTGCGTGTATCACTGCCAAGACCAATATTTGGAATGTTGATTTTTCTTTCGGTTACGGGATAAATTTTTCAATTTGAATGAAAAGCTTTTATCAAAATTAATAAAAACGTTATTATTATTTAAAATTGGGATGGGAGCTAAAGCGAGCACTGTTGCACAATCTACTGGAGGCAATGGACAATCCTCTACTGGAGCAAATGAAACTGCAATGCCAGGATTTTCTATGCTGCGTTCTCTTCCTGGAGGTGTTAGCCTGTTACAACATCAACATCAGCAAGGAAATCAATCACAAACTTCTCGAGTATCTGGAGATAGTAGACAACGTGCTCGTTCTTTAAGTTCAGTACCAGATCTCTCATCTGGCGAACAAAGCAGTCTTGCTTCTTCAGTTGGAGTTGGAGTTGGTCAAGCACTTGGTTTGCCACAACTTGATTCGGATGATGCTGACGAAGAGAGCGGACGAGTTTATGCGGCACATAGTTTACCATCTCACATTTGGTCTCTTAACGGTAAGTTTATTAGTTTTGTAGCAGATATCCTTTAATACTTAAAATAACTGTTTATATTAATACTATATTATATTAACATAATACTTTTATCAGTAAGTATTATAGTGGATACATGTATTGTGTATATACATGATTTGTATGATATGTGTGTACTTGTGAACAGCATAAGGTACGTGTACGTGTGTATGCATTTGTTTTGTTACACATATGTGTATATATGGTATATATACTATAAATACATATACATATATACACATTTTTTACATGTCATATACATACATATAATATAATAAATGTATAAATAAAATGTGCAAGAATATTATTTATTCTAAATAAATTTGTAGCTTGTATGAGATTACAAGTAACTTTATACAGTTTATAAAATTAAAAGTAAACTTGTATCAACTAATACGTACGATATAAATGTTATCATTGATTATGTAATTTTCTATGATATGCAAGTATCTGAAATAATCCATACACATATTAAACAAGCTTCTTAGTTTTTATTTTTGTTTATTTCAAAAAACAATTTTTATTCTAATTTTACTGTAATGTTACATTGAATTTCATTAAGTACAATCTCTTTAATTTTTAATCAATTGTAACTATTGACTGTACTAAAAATTTGAATTGTTTTATACGTTGTAATTATCATGAAATTTTGAAAAAAGAAAAGTAAGGTTATGTTGCAGTCTTAAAATTTTACGAAATAATTGTGGGTTGAAATAAAGGGTACTTGTTTGACTCATGTTGTCGTAGTAGTTGGCCCGGTAACCGTATGTGAATCGATTGTGATTTAACCTAGTTGCGTAAATTTTAAATATGCGGTAGTAAAATAAAAATGATTATAAACAAAGAATTTCGCATATAATTTAAAAATATTGTCTGTGATGGGTATGTTAAAATTATTTGAATTTTATTATGGGAATTATAATAAGTTCATGCTTAAATGAATCCGAGGCAGAAGTTGTTCCAGTAAATCAAGTGAGAAGAATTTTTTATGGTATAACTTTTATTAGTTTTATGCCAATAAGTATTACGATATTAGAACAATAGATAATTGTTTTATTTTGTATTTAAGGTCTAAAATGTCCTGTTTGCTCCAAGTTTGTTCTGCCAGACGATATAGAATGTCACTTGGTTATGTGTTTAACCAAACCACGTCTTAGTTACAATGGTAAGTGGTATTTTATATCTGATTTTATATAACACAATAATTTGAGACTTTTCAATTGCTTTTCAATTGCTATAAGCTATATTATTATATTTTTTGCAACAATAAACTCTTTATATACAGTATTATATACGGTTTATACAAGTTAAATACTTCAGAAACAATGTAATCAATTTTTATCATTTTGGTATAATATTGTTTCAGATAGCTTTCAAATATATGTCACATTTGCCTTTTAATTATCCTGTAGAAATGATAAACCAGTATTGATTTTGAAATTCTAAATAAAAACTCAAGTAAAACAAAGTATTTTCATACATATTGGAAAGTGGAAGATTTTCAATTACAATTTCTACGTATAATAATGTTATCACAAAAAATATTTCTTTGACACTTTTGTCTTCTAATATTACAAATGTTTGACGTTTGCAATAAAATTATATTATGGATTATCAACTTACACGTTCACGAAATAGATAAGCTGTATTTCTTTGTTAAATTAAATTAAATTTATTAAATGTTCAAATTGTTAATTATGAACATATAAGCATTCAATTATTGTAAATACAAAGTTATTTCTATCATAAATATTATTAGGCAGCAGATGCTTCTCTTGTTCTTTCCTGTTTTTGTAGTTACATTTTTTTTATCTGTGAAGCAAATAAGTGTAGAAAAGGTAAGTAGAAAAGGTATAAGATAACCACCAAATGTTTTTCTTTTCAATTCGTTCATTTTCATTTTACAATATATTTTCCTTCTTTATAATATGGATAAAATAAAAATTGCTACATTTGGCTTCAAAATTTTTTTCCTTTTTTTTCTTCTTTTTTTAAGAAAAAAATTAACAAATCTGAACAAAATTAAATATTTGTTAAAAAAAATATTGAACAATTAAAAGCAAAATTTTTTCTTTTTTATTCAGATTTCTTTCTATAAAATTATACGATCAATCTATTATATCATCAAGTTATATCTTTGATTTAGCAAATTTAGCTGTACATTAACTTTGTCTATGGATGTTTGTAACTTTTTATAACTTTCTTACTCATTATAGTAATTAATGTATTATTTTTTATTTTCATTGTAGAAGACATATTATCCGATGAAAAAGGTGAATGTGTTATTTGTCTCGAAGAATTACAACCTGGAGATGTTATAGCCCGCCTACCTTGCCTATGTATATACCACAAGAAGTAAGTTTTTATATCTAATAAATTTTTAAGTTTAAGCCGTATGCATTGCATCTATAAAACTTAACTCTATTATTACATTGTCTTTTATAAATATAAATAACAAGATGAAAGTAATAAACTATAATTAATATTTTTCAGTTGTATTGATAAGTGGTTTCAAGTGAACCGTAGTTGTCCTGAACATCCTGGAGATTGATTTATACCCACTGAAGTTGTAATAGCACAATGCAACTTATTAATTTTAAAGACTCTCATTACAATGAAAATAAAGTGGGAGGAAATGGGAAAAATTTGAAAAACGCTAGTCAAGATGGCTGCTAGTCCACTGTGCTGGTTGGTGTATGCAATTGTTTGACTGAATGAGATATACTCAATTTGAATATGAAAGCAGACATTTAACTAAATCCTTGATCATACTACCTGTAAGCAGGGGACTTGAAAGATCGCCATAAAATTCAACGATACAATGCTATTATCTATATGTATCTGTAATTAATCTATTACTGCTCTATAGCTTACTATCAATTGTACCATATTTACAAATTTTACTTAGTTTTACATTTTGGAGTCGGATTAGGAATAATTAGGCTAATCTGTTATTGATTATTATATATTGTTTTCGGAGAAGGGAATATCAGATAAAATTTAGTCGAAAGCCATGAATAACAATCAGGCAAACTTTATATTACATAATTCAATTGTATTTTTGATGATTTCGTTATAAATCTAACATTTCATTTTTGTCATTTGTTGGGAAATGTACTCCAGAAAGGATATTTTTGATACTTTCATAAAAGAAAGAGTTGGATATATAAAAGTTTTAAAGAACGGACTTTTAGTAATAACGATGTTAATGCTGTAATAACAGTAAAAAATTAGATTTAAATTTCTTTATTAAAATTTGAACTTTGTGATAAATTTCATTTATGTTTTTAGAGAATAGAAGTCCTGCAGTTATAAAATATAATTTATTGTTAATGTTATATCATAATTAATATCTTTTTTACACGATAGGAGTTGACTCGTAGGAGTTTTTATAACAAAAATAAACATGGTCTGTCAATTTTCCAATAATACATGCGTTGTATATATCTGGATTAGACTTGTATCATATAAGATAAAAAGTCTAATAAAATAAAAATTTCAAACCAAATACAATTATAAAAGTGATTTAAGCATTCGGTATAATATCTATGATATTATAGAAATAAAAATAAAAGTTCTCTATGTTAATAAAACAAAAAAAAAAAAAAAAAAAAAAAAAAAAAAAAAAAAACCCGGAAAAAAAAAAAAAAATTTTTTTTTTTTAAAAAAAAAAAAAAAAAAAAAAAAAAAAAAAAATTTAGTATTGTTTTCAACATTATAAAAACTGATTATGTTATTGTTGTCTACAAATTGTTTTATCTCAGGACGTAATACTTTTAGAGGACATACAAATAACTGTTTTCTTTATAAACATTCAATACATTTTAATTATGGTAGAGATAGATATACGTATACGTATAGTAATTTTTATATATCGGCGTCGCAATATGATTTCACCCTTATTTTACGTTTTAGATATTATTAAAGAAACAATTATTTCGTGAAGTATCGAATTAACGAAGTCATTCTTTTGTATATGTAGCCTTATATACTTTGTTATTTATGGAATAAATTTGAATAATACAATAGACGATTCATATGTCATAATACTACAGGGAGAAATGTATTTTGTACATATATTTTAAAACTAAATGAAAATTTCATATTTTATAGAATATACTTACCGTGTTACAATACATCCCAAATATAGGCGCCTTTTAAAACTTTACTTTATTTTATGAATTTTCGTTAGAATATCATTAAAGATTCAAATATTTCTTTATACTAAAATGAAATATTTGAATATGAAAATTATAAAAATAATCATACAATTCTTTCAAATAATAGATACAATGATGGACAAGAATAATAACACAATATAATTTTTAAAATAAAAAACATATAAGTATAAAAAAATTGAACTCCAGTCTTTATTTCTTGAGAAACCTTTATCTTAAATGTTTAGTATAAGAAACAGTAAGAAATAAAATAATATAACAATAGCAGAATAACATATTTTAAAGATTTTTATATGGAAATAAATACAGAATGTTGTCTTTAATGACATTGTGATTCTTGTTTTATGATAATGAAGAAGACAGATAAAAAGAAATTGAATCAATGCAGCATATAATACGATTATAATGTCATAGTTGCGGAAATAATAATATTTGATATTTTCAGGATGTTTAGTTTGTACATTTTATGGACAAAATACGAATAATCAGCCAAGACATTTAGACAATCAGCCATTCGTCGTATAGACATCCGTAATTCCAATAAACAATATTTACTTTATAAAAATATCTTCGTAAGAAAAGAACGTGTATGTGAAGAAAAGTTAAGACGCAATGAGGAATCGGTAAAATGAATAGTAGTTCTTTATCATATTTCATAAAAACATTTCAGAGACATTTTACAAATATAAAACAAATAGAAACAAAACAAAATGCACAGAAATTAATAAATATAACTTACTCATTTACATATATTAAACTTAAATTTTATTCATAATGTGAAAAAAAGGGAAAAAATAATTTGTACATGTTAGTGAGCTCTGAGTTTCCTCTTAGAAAATTAATACTTTAAAAATATTGTTGCAGTTCAATATTTAAACAATCGCTGTTGCTATCATTGTATAAACAATTAAATAGAGCGAATACCTGGTACAAGTACTAATATAGAGTGTTGAAATTCCAAAATAAATTCAAATGTTTTCCTTTTAGTTTCAAACGTTACTTTAAGTAATAACGAAGTATTTTCTTAAGAGGACGATTAAATTGCTATATATGATTTATTTGATAAATTTTATCTTGACAAGATACAATAAAGTGAAAAAAAATTGGCTTTGAATTTCAAGATTAAAGACAATCTTTTGAGACATTTAAAAAATAAATCTTTATCAATCAAAGACTTGGATAATCAAACAATATTTTTCTACATCTACACACACACGCACACACACACAAAGCGCGCGCACAGAGAGAGAGAGAGAGAGAGAGAGAAAGAGAGAGAACAGCATTTAAGGGTAATGAAAGTTCTATGCAATATGTTCCTAATGTATCATGAAATAGACATAGGAATAAAAACGAAACAGTTGCATGATGCATAAATTCTTTATCAATTTTTAATACAGAAAATTTATTTTATATAGATATATTTTATATAGATATATATTATAAGAAAACATTTTTCAAGTTTGAATATAAAATATTAATATGATTATGTATTATTGAGTATACTTAATCAAGCTGGAATTATTTTGCATGTGATATAATTAGTTTAATCCTCAGGATATGTAACTCCAACTTGCCTTCGAATTTCATCTTCTAATTGTGCAATTAATAAAGAAACATTGTGTGGTACTTTGGAGCTTTCGGTCACACCTAAAATGGAGCAAATCAAATTAGTAATAATGAATACTTTAGATGTGTATCTAGACTTGCTTTAATTAAAATTAATAATCAATATAATACGACTATGTAAGTTAATTAATACATGTAAACGTTGGTAATAACAATCATTTACGAAAAGTATGAATAAAAATAAAAAAATGATACTATATCATTTTCTTTATTATTCTAAATATTTAAAGCAAAAACTTAATGATTTTCGACAAATTAAACAACTTTTATCGTGAAAATTTTCTCACATTTCTAAAAGAGTGAGAAAAATATTGTGTATTATTATATTTGTCTATAGTTTGTTTATTGGAATAAAAAAAATATTTGAATGGTACTTTAAATTTAAAATTAAAGCATGCGATACCTGCTAAAATGCAATTACGAACTTCAGTGGCTTCGTAAGATAATCCAACACTGTTAATAAAATTGAACTTGCTTTTAGTTTCAGGAAGTGATACATTTATTTTACCACTTGGTAGCTCTATAGTTGTAGGACACCAAAAGTTTGGCACTTTTATCATTCCTTTTGTACCAATAATGTAGGCTTCATTTTGTAAATCAACTAGAGAATGAGTAATAATGGTTGCAGTACGATTTCCGTTGTAAAGAAAGGTGGCAGATACAGATTGATCAACTCCCTCCTCATTTAAGCATCCAGCAGCTTGCACAGTACGAGGCATTTCATTATTAAATATTAAACAAGCAAACTGTATTACATATACACCCAAGTCCAATACAGTACCTCCTCCTAGACTTTTTATGCTAAACAGAATAATACATGTCCGAATATAATAAGTTTCACGAGTATCTGTTTTTCAATTATTATTTAATAAAAATTTAAAAAATTGTATCACACGATCTGTAACAAAGAATTGATAGATATTGCAAATACTAGAAAGCTTGACAGAAAAAAGAAAGATAGAAAGGATTTCGGATTACACGTAGCTGACGTGACAAAGTTTATAGTTGATCATCACAGTTGATAATTATCAAATAGAAAGATATCAAATGCGTTGAAGATAAAGTGATTGAATTTGTGCAGAAATTCTAGAACTATAAAAATAAGATATAGCAATGAATCTCGTTTGAATTTAAAACATTAAAATGTTACAATTGAATAAAGAAAAACTGTAGAAGAAATATCACGAGTCGTAATCTTGAAAATCTATATTGTATTTGAGAGACATTTTCTGAACAAAACTGTAATTTGTTCAATATGGCGCATTTTGTTTATTCATACGTGATGTACAAAAAAATAATATAACACTCGAATACTTTGAATTATATAATATGAAAAGTTTACATATCACACTGTAAAACTCTAATATCAGTGGATGCATACATATGTGTAATCTTGTTAAAAGGAAATGTAGAGAAAAAGATAGATTAGGAAGAAATAGTTAATGTAGAAAAAGAAACCAAAAATGTGAAAAAATTTGAGGTAACAGAAGTAAAAGCAAATTGAGGTTTGCAAAGATGAAAGATCGTATTTTGAAAAAGAATGCAAAGAATAGTGTGAAAGGAAATCATTGAGAGATGATATAATAATATGAGAATAAAATAAAGGTAGTAAAGTTTGTTAGAGAAATGAACTAGTAACAAGTATGTGATAGTTATCACTAAATGAATTTGTAACGAGAATTATGATACTGTTTTCAGATCTTCTCTTAACAAATGTCCTGATACACGACGAGTCCATTTGTATGTAATTCTAATATAAAAGACTTTACGAAGACTTTTTTTCATGACAAATCTTAATATCATAAATAATCACTATAGATTCGTCATGTTATCTAGTCTTAATACTACGAATTATAATCTCGATCATAATTAAAATGTATACAAGAACAAAATAAACTTTATTTGCGTACTTCAATCGTTCAACATCCGGCATTTTAAATCCAAAAGATACAAGAACTTGATGAATTTGTCCAATACTTCCAGATTCAATCTCTTTCTTAAGAATTTCATATATAGGAAAACATCTACTCCAAATTCCTTCCATTAAAAATAACTTTTTCTCCTTTGCTAAATTTATCAACTCTGTTGTTTGCCTTAAATTCATAGTTAAAGGTTTTTCGCATAAAACATGTTTTCCATGATGCAACATTAATTTTGCAATATCAAAGTGTTGGGGATGTAACGTTCCAATATATACGACATCTGTGAATATAAACGAAATAATTGAAAATTACATTAAATTTAAATAGATTATTGTCTATATTCTATTTGAATAAACTATTCAAAATAATTTATAAAATTAGAAAAAATTGTAGATTTAGTGAAAGATGACTTTTTTATTCAATTTATAACTAACTTAATTTAACTATGTAGAAGAAAAGAAATTAACTAGTTAGTTTACATATTGCTATTTTTCTTTTTTGTTAATACGTTATTAAATTTGCAAACTGCTATAATAATATTAAAATAATCATAATAATAGCAATTGATAGAATTCAGAGCTATCAAAGTTAAGATTTTTTGCATCTTCAACTCAATACCTATCCTTGTAGTAACAATAGATATACTACAATATTGCGTTAGACAAAATAAAAATGTTGTAGATCAATATTGATCTCATATTTTGCCAAGTGTTGGAAAAATGTTAAAGTTACAATGATGGAACAATAAGATTATTTTTATCGTTAACTAAGTTAAAAAATATATATATAAATCTTACCAATATCGTTATCCTCTGCTAGTTTTGTATAATTATCAAAAGCCTTTTCAATGTTATGCAAGCTAGAAAAATTCTGAGCCCTTGACAATTCACGAGCTGCTACTGCAACAACTACATGTTCAGATTTTGGTAACGATCGTAAAGCTGTTACAAAATCATGTGATATTTTGCCAGCACCTGCTATACCCCAATGGATAGACATCTATAATGATATAATTAGAGAAAAAATTTATTATTTATTAATTATACAAATTAATAAATAATTATTATTAATTAATAATAAATATAATTATACAATGACTTAAGTTTAAAAATACAAATATTTTATTTTTACATAAAATAATGTATAAAGCAAATATACGTTTTGTTTGGAATCTCCTCGATCTAGAGCTTATAAAACACACATAAAACTTTATCAGATTTTAAGAATATTTCAACAAATAAGAATTGGGATCAATGTATCCGTTAAGCTCAGAATTCAACAATGTGTTAAATTTAACACGTTTACACGTTGAAATTAAAATGTTCATTCTTAATTGCATTTTTAAAAATAACATAATAGTTTCTTAGAGAATTAAAAAAAACTATAACATTCGTTTCTAATTTATTTTTATTGAATAAAATTTATTATTCTGTGTTGTCATAAGTTTCTTTAACATATCAGATATATATCATTACATGTATATATTATTAATTTTGAAAATCATTGAAATTTTAAAAAATGTTACCTCTTTCTAAGTTATTGATGGGATGTCAATTAACTATAATTATATTTAATAGACAGATTTAATTTAATAAATATACAAAGCAAAAAGTATACGACTTGTTTTTGTAGTATGTATATTTATGCCGAAAATTTTCACATGGATAAATTTTTTTTATTGTATAATAATAATATTCATATTATTATTATCATAATAACAACAACAATAATAATTCTTTGTTTTCTTTTTTTAATTCTATTAATTATAACAACAGAAAATAATAAATAATATATGGACGTAATAAATAATTGTGTATATATTAATATTGTAGAATTTATCTTCCTTTTTTACTTTTTTTATTCTTAAAATTAAGTTATAACTTACGGTATTTATAAAAGATAATGTTTATTTATTATAACTGCTTTTCGCTTTATAGAATACTGCTTTGGAAACTACACAGATTAAATATGTCAAATCTGTTGACTTTCAAGTAGCCTTTCCACGAGATACGATGTAGATTAGAAACTAAAAAATATATTATATAACACAAGTATCTGTGCTAACATACACATATGTTGCATCAGCTTTTTAATAGATTTTTAGTGGTAAACTTAAATTTTGAATTGGAAGTGATTTCATATATACACATCAATAAGAAATAAGATGCAATCGCAAAATAAGAAAACTTACACATTCTAAATAATGTTAAATATTTTTGAAAACAGCTCAAACCTCTATACAATAAATAATAAAACGAACCGTTTTGAGATTCTAACCAAAATAAAGAACTTGGAATACAAATTTTATTCACAGTAAATAAAGAAAATAGATAACACTTGTAACATGTCTATTTATTTTAAGAAAATAAATAACACTCTGGTCTATTTACCTTAAATACATATACTGTAGGTGCATCTTATTTTAATATATATACTTTCTATTGCACTATCATTGCAATCATTATACTTTCACATTATATACTTTGATCTCACTGTCAGGTAAATTCATAACTATTTTCCAAATATTAAATCAGTCAATTTTCATAATAAAACGCAAGATCGACAGAGTAATCATCCAAATATCAATATCTTGACGCTTTCTTGTACCTACAGCAAAATAAATTATTTATTATAGACATAATCATACACAAATTATCATACATATAATTTAAAGACATATTATATTTAACTCACAATTATTCTTGACATTTCAATAACCACACTTTAAACATCCTCAGATCATCTGCAAAATATACTAATATGTCAATAATCACAATTAATATAAATATGTAAAAATAAAAAAAAATAAAATAACACCCAAAAATAATTCTAAAATCAAAATACAAAATACTACATTTGTATAGAAATTTAACCTTAAATTACAACTAAACTCTCGCAAAATATCAATAAACATAACAATCAAATTCAAAAATAATAAATACGACAACAATAGCAATATAATTTTACAGGAGTAAAACTGAAATCAATAATCACAATTTGCGCATCTATCGATCTGATAAAACTCGCAGAACCATCGAAGACAACGCGAAGTTTCATAGTTGAACAAATTTTTTCCATGGCGTGACGTATAAGAAAAAACTGTGTTGTTGAAATCTGACGTAGCTGTCACGGAACAACTCTGGACATACGCCTGAGGATTTTATATTCACGCATGAACTCGATATACTGTTGACGAAGAGTTGAGTCCCGAATCAATTTCTAAATTAATCAGTCGTTTCTCGGCTTAGGTTCGCAACATGCATGATCTATCCACATTGAACGAAGGAACGTATAAAATAAATGAATGATATTACTTGTAATTTATATTTCAAAGGAAACGTGAAACTGAATAATGCACGTTACTTGAAATGTTAAAGGAATTATTTATTATTATTACGAAAATGTCAGACTTATTGACGAACGATTTAAATTTGTACAGTTTTGCTGAATATATACGTATAAAGTTCTATATATAGGTTTTTTATTAAATGTTACTTTAAATATATTCTACAAGCTCTAACGCTTAATTTCACTAACTCTTGGAAAGTAAATTCCTACGTACAAGTGCTAGATATAACTTCTCGATTAAAGAACTCCTTGAATGTCAAATTATGTAGATTCCAAAGTTTAGCTATGGATTAAATAATATTAGAGCAAATATATATTATATGTATGTATTCGTTTAATATCAAGATAGCGTAGTCATTTGTAATATCACAAAGAAAGTATTTTATACAAAATAACGTGCTATGCAACGTTATATAAATCTTAACTGAGAGTAATATATTTATTTTACTATATTTACGTTTGATTATATCCGAGTCTTATGTTATCTCTTGTCAATATCCTATAGAATGGTAATGTATTTACATAACTTTTTAAAATAATGATTTTGTTGATTTAAGGTGCAAAGGTTACACGATCATGATGTATAGAATGATACCAACTATCACAATATGAGTGTAAATATTATAAATGTTTATGTATATTTCTGTGTATACGTTGTTGTTAAAACAAACGTGAAAAGTACTACTTTGTTATTGGAATGTTACAGGGTTGTTACGTGCTTCCTTTATTAATTTTATATGATGTTTCCAATACAAATCGCTATGCTTTCTTGTATACATTCGCGTATTAGTTGGGTCCACAAAGTTGTATCCTATTAAAATATACTCTTTCTTCTTTTCACATTTGTTTCTAGTATATGTTACATCCTTATCCTTGGTTTAAATAGTATTTAATATGTGCGATTCACTTCTCTTCTTCCGTACGTTCGTATTCATTTTTTCCTTTTTTTTTTTGCGTATTTTCCACTTTGGCACTGAAATTAACAATTTACATTTTGGTTATTTTTGTATTTCTATTTAATTTGAATTAAAAATTTTGGTTACTTTTGTATTTGTATTTAATTTGAATTAAAAATATGGAAAATTGTAAATTTAATAAATTTTTATTTTTCTTACTGTTCGTACCAAATCATTTAACGTACATGTATATAACAACTTGTCACCTTGACAGTTTTAAAATGGAAAATAATTATGAATAAACAATATTGGAAACTTACTAGGAAAAAACGTGCCTATGAATAGTGTCTCCCTCGTACGGGAATTATATCGTCCGGTTAAATTATTTTCTGGCGGGATATTTGAAATTATTATTAATAATTTAGCAAGATACAAAACATTTATACGCAATATTGTATTGTAAAATAAAATATTCCTGCAAAATAAAAAAAAGAAAAAATCTTGCAGTCGATAACGAAGAATAAATGTTCCCTGTCGGTAACGTGAAAAAAAGAAAAAATAGAGCAAAAAAAGATTAACACGAAGACAAATAAGCCGAAACAAACGTAATCCAAAAAAATGACTCAAAATAAAAAAAGAAAAAATATGTTTCAGTCGATAACGAAAAATCAATGTTCCCGGTCGGTAACGCAAAAAATTCTTTTTTCTAGAAAATTACTAACAATAAAAAAACAATATTTCGCTGGTGTTAAGATATATTCATAAATAAAAGAAAAATGTATATGGAACTATCGTTTTTATAAAATTACAGACTTTCAGAGAGAGCCTCCGTTTGTTTATAAATTTTTTAATAAATAATATACATTCGTATGAAATTTTGGACGACCAGAGAAGAATGCTAAAAGAGCGGATGGAATTGGTAAATATATCGTTAATTTCACACGGTGGGCAAAAATTTGATTTTAAATTTGAAATGCAACAAAATGTAACAATTCTGTTGAAAATATAGCAATATATTCAAAATTTACAGTAATACTAACGTTTCAAACGGAAACAACAAACTACCCGATCACAATTAATAAGTATCATCGACAATGTATCAACATAATGTTTCTGAATGTATTTCGAATGAAATTCTTATACTGTTACGCTCTTTCTCTCCTTTCTACAAATAAAATAATTTTTATACATTAGTTTTTATAATTTATGAAGATACACAAACATTTATACGCAGTACAGTCTT